GGATGCTGAACGATAGTTCCTCCACTATGCGGAGATAGACAAGTGGCGACACGTCACTGGTCGCGATAGCGTCGGGCTCAATCGGTGATGAGAGAGCTGGCGGTGGAGCAATTAGAGGTGTGAAGGTAATAGCTAACAGTTGTTGCTCAGCTCGTTGGCGAATCTTTGGGAAATGTCAGCATCATCATCAATAACTTAAGCTAGATGTTATGGTCAAGAAGCTCACCTCCATTGCGGCATCTGGGTGCAACGTGCTCACAACATGAATCCAATCTGACAGGCCTTGCTGTATATCAGATTTCGCGGCTTCAAAAACAAGATCATAAATACGTTTCTTGCTCTCAATGTCACTTTCCACAAATAATAACCGTAGCTTCATGAGACAAAAGGGACGAGAGAAATCGTTGATGGACGCAATAGTCTCTTTCGCGGCATCTAAGACTAATTCAAAGTTAGTATCATAAAACTCGTAAAACTCGCGTCCAGTAACAAGATCAACGCTTACCACTTCCATCCGGAATTGTCAACAACAGGCTTAGTGCTTGACTAGTGAACTTCATGCAGTCAGGAAACTTCTCCAACAAGCGATCAGCCCCATCCATGCCGAGAACATGTGGGTGTCGAACTGCGATTTCGCTCAGAAGGGGTTTAACCGAGTCACCCAATGGATCACCGCCTGCACGTTTCGGAGATTCCGCTGTGGCCTGCGAAACCCCCGCCAATAAATCTTGCAAAAGACTAAGCGCTTGTGAAGGAAACAGTCTCACGTATTCTTGCTGGGCAATTTTGAACCGGTACGCAACCTGACCATGCAAACCTGTTAGCAACTACATGTTCCGGGATGACGATTCAAATGCAGTTAACTCACTAGATCTTGCGCGCCACCGGCGTTGGCCAGCCGCTTATCTAAGAGCTGAATTAGACTCTGTCGGAATTCAGTCAAATCCGGGATCCCTTCTCGCAGGTCGCCAGTGCGCAGCAGGTATTTGATAAGGACATAAAAAGACTGCAATGCAACGCAACCAACACCTATCAGCGGCGGCAGAAGGCTTGACAGATCCGGTCGAGGCGACGATTTTAGCACCGTAATGACCCACCTGATCATCAAGCGGTCAAAAAGCTTCGTATTGAAAGGCCTGAGTCGAACAAAATACCGCGCTGTCTCATGGGTACATTGCTTTCCGTTTACACTGCCATATTCAAGTCTCTTGGACAGAGTGTTGAAGATTCGAGTCATCGTGACTTCATCCATAGTATTTCCCGATGCTAGCAGCTGGTCCAATGCGTGTCTAAACGTGCGACTGGGCGTGGCGGTGTTTATATCGGCGATGTCGTCAGATACCGGAGACGGAGCTTCCATGGAGAGTTGTTTTTCCCGTTCCATCTGATCTCGGCGGAGCATAGCAACGGAAGGCGCCTCGGTTGGAATTCTGACTCCGACCTCTAAAAGAGACGTTATCAAATGGTCAATGCGTGAATCTGCCGTTCTAATTCTGGCATATGAGCTGACCAAGCTCTTGAAGAGGTCGGGTGTAGCACCGATGGCATTAAACGTCTCAAGGTGGTAGTTAAGAGCGTCGACAGCCGATATCAAAACTGTAACATTGTCGGACTCCGAAGCACATTTCAACACATCGGCAAACATGGACATATCATCAAGAGATTCAAGGACATATCGTACTTCAAAGAATTCCTGGTGAGTGAGTGAAACTATTCCGAAATCGTTTGTGAAATCCCAAACAGTCCTGTAACGTTATCAGAAAACACCATCAAAAGAAGAGGAGCCGTCGCCATGGAAAACTCACCTCACACTATCTCTGACGTGAGAGGCTACAACATCTCGAAGCCACTGCCCTATCTCACACTTCACTGTCCATGTTACGGCGGAAAAATCCAAATCGTCCGTCATCTGCACATTCACATCCGTGCGGACCTCAGGAAACATTGTCGGGAGACGGCGTCGAATTGATTGCTTTACAACTTCAATGGTCTCAGACTCCAGATCTACCTGAAATCCTGTCCTTGAAAGCAGGGTATTGCGAAGGTTCCAAACATGGCCGGGAAGACGACATGATGGAAGATTGCTGAGGAGACCAATGTCCCCAGGCATACGCTGGAAATCGAGTCAGTCAACAAGGGTGATGATGATGTTAATGTTGCGATTCAAACACGTACCTCCTTATTTTCAGAAACACTGCTTAGCACACCACGCGCGATGAGCCACTGCAAGTACTTGGACACGGAAAATGTCTGTGAACGGACCAATTCGCAAATGATATGGTATAGATCAACGAGGCGCACGCCAGACTTTTGGTGAGCTTGCGCGAGGAACGTGAAGAGGTACAAGTCAGTATCCATTCCTATCCTCCTCCATCTTCGGAAAAGCCGGACGGCTGTGTACGTTCGGGAGATGCCATAGCGGAACGCAGTCGATGCCCACTCTAAAACCGTGGTGGCCACAGTGCTCGGATCAAGTGATAAGTTCAACAAATCCGTAGCGAGAGTGGGAATATCGCTGGATGAGTCAAGAAGTTCGATTATGTGCTGAAGCGGTGAATTGTCCTTTGGTCCGGGTTCAACTTTAACTCGAGATATCGATGCATTCCGCTCCTGGAGAGCTGCAAAGTCCTTTTTATCCTCTGTGCTGTTCATATCCAGGCATGATGATAATGTCGTTTCGTATTTGGCCCAGCATCGAGGAAGAATAAACGAAGAGGGGCAATGATGAACAATTTTCTTGATAATGCGAGAGAGACGTCGAATGAGAGAATTTAAATGTCCGTTCTTGTTAATAAGGATAGCCTGCAACGTTAAATTAGTACAATATCAAAAAGCAACAAGGCAACAATAACACACTGTACTGAGCTTCTCCAAGAGGCACTCTGCAAGTCGCTTGCCTCTTTTGCGGTACTTGACAACATGATCCCAATAGCTCCCAAGCATAAGGAGCCAGACAGGAAAGCTTGCCAACGAAGCTTTACTTGACGATGTATGGAACCACTCCATAAAATGGTCATGGTCAACAAGATACTCGAGGAAAAGTCGACCAGTAAGTCTCAGGCTATGTTGAGTTAGTTCTCATCCCAACTCCAAAACAAGAAGATATGCCACGGGGAGCAGCTGGGGATGCAATTACGCATAACAAATTCTAATTTTCCAACTGTCATCCACCAAACTACCTAGTACCCCCTCAATAAACTGCTGCACGTTTACCGTCCAGTCTCGCACCCATTTCGCCTCTAGACCACTTGCAACACTTGCAGATGTTCCTTTCCTCCTAAATGCACGTAGTTCGTTGGCACCAACACACTTTGCCACCCAAAGAGCCCGAGAAATATGGACAGATTTCACAAGACAATGTTCGAGGAGCACTTTACCCCTGACCCCATGCGGAATAGTGCGACTTAGTCTGCGTAGCGGTACGGAGTCATTTGCCAGATCTCGCAGCCAAGTCTCACGCTTATTGTCAGTCAATGTGACCCGGGGCGGCGGCCGAAATGTCGACGGGGCAGTGACTCTATTGTGGTTCTGTCGTTGCTCGAGACTCGCAGCAAAAACGGATGACAAGACTTTCAATCCGGAACGGTGTTTGAATTGAGGATACAGAGCCGACCTTGCGCTAACACTTTCATTGGGAGACACCTGGACTCGGTCATAGAAGCCATGCTTAATGGTGTGGTCAGAGAGCACGTCCTCGACCTGTGACCCTGTCCATGGAGAGAAATCCGCAGATTCTATATAAATTATACGTTAGCAATCAAGATTAAGTGGGATTATATACTATATAATATCAAGAAGAAGGAAAAGCACATACTGTTGTCAAGGAACCGAGGCGCCTTGGCGGGGTTGGACATGCGATAAGGCGTTGTCTGCACTTCCAAACACCACGTATCATCCTTCTGTGCATCCGACGCCGTTGGAGTGTGGTATGGAGATCGTTCCTGCGGACTATACTGCCAAGGGCGAATAGGTAACAGGGGTAGACCTGCAGACTGTGACCACTGAGAAGACTCCGATGCGCGCCGGGCTGCAGAGCTCGACATACCGCTCCGAAACGACCAGGGCGGGCGCAGGGACTGCTCATTCGGAGTGTGGTTCATTAAGTCCATGGGATTTATCGACTCTGGAACTTCGCTTGCAGTGGAGGGTGTATTGTGTTGGGGATCTAGCGGCGGCTGCTGGTGAATTGCGAGATATTGATTGTTGTCCCGCGGCACCAGCGGAGTAGAGCTCTCACGAGTATCCAAGCACGGCCTTTTCGCAGGGGGTCCAGATCCATCATCACTCACCCTGTCAGTATCTGACTCTGCAGTAAGGTCGATAACTGAAATCACCTGAACGTCGGGGTCAATTGCACGAGCGGGTGGAGGAGGCGCAGGCGCAGGCGCAGGCGCAGGAGCTAGGGGGACCAACTGGGGAGCGGAGGAGCCGGAGGGTGCCGAAACCCGGCTGGGGGAAACAGGATGACTTGTGGGACGGCGTAACGGCATTATCCGCGGATCATAGCGCTCATCCCGATGTGATGGCGAACGTCGGGCTGTTCAGGCCGTTGTCGCAACCCAGGGCAAAATACGTAGAGGTTGAGATAAAAAGCGGTAGTCTGAGTTCACTAGGCAGGTAAGACAGTAGAATCAGAGAAACTGGAGAGCAAAATGCAAGAACACGAAAAGAGAAACAATCATTAAATCTCCAGGAAGCAGAGAAACGGCCATGAAGGGGGTTGAACTCGGAGCAGTAGTGGTGGCGGTGGTGGTTAAGAGACTCATATATATAAACTCTATATATATATATATATCAGTGATTGTTTGCGGTTGTCGTAGGGTCGACCGGTCGGCTTAAGCTGCGAACTTCGGCAGCTGCGGCGGATTGCGTCGAAGTCAGTCAGGTGAACAGCAAAGAGCCGCAGCCAATAGAGGCGAACAAGTCGCCCGGCTCGCTACAGCAGTACACTGGTTGAAGAGCAACGAACTCGCAAAGTTATATACCAACGAACGCATTCTTTAATCGCCAAACGCAGCCAAATCCATGGATGTCCGGGAAAAGCTAGGTCTCCACGGGTTGTTGTAGAGCCGCGACTCCTCATCGCCCAAGCTAATTACTTTGATAGGCTCGGTTGGCAGCTGGAGAACTGTTCCAACATCCAGAACTACGGATACCTCTCTAGTATGTTCGTTTCCTGGCCTTATCCCAGACACCAACCGAGTAGCTCCTCTATGATTCATGGTTGTCGTCGATCTCCTGCTGAGAATAGATGACTTGCCGGTTGGTTAGTTACGGGCCCCATCCGTTGTTATCAGCTATTCCTCAACGTGATCGTAACTGTCGTAAATCACCTCGCGTAAAACTTCTGCCTCGTCTCACTTCCTCCTCCCACGGCGATTCGAAGAAGATGCCCGTTTGTCATTCGAGAGCTTTATAAATTTCCCCCTCCCCGCTGCGGGATGATTACTCAATTCCTCACTACGAAAAGCTAGTGACGCTCCACCAGGTTCCTCTACGCTTCTTTCCAAGTTCTTATGTTCATCGTTACTGAATGCTTTTGGCCTGATTCCATGTTTACCTTCATTGCTACAGATATCCATCTTTTCCCCTCTCACAGCCAGGCTTCTGAGGTCCTCACGTATGTTTACATGTTTGTATAAACACAACCTTGGTAGCTACGTACATGAATACATTATATGTGTGCGGACATACATCACATCAACTGGAAGATCTGTCACATTGCCTGCGATCGATGTGGAAGATATGGAACAGAAGAAACCTACCTTCTTTCACGGTTAAGATTCTATGTTCAGCGAATAATGGATACATGGCTAAAGTGGACGGAAGGACCGTGTATGGATGTGCCTTGGGCCTCTGAACCCAGGTTCGCATGCGATTTTAAGCAAACAGCAACAAAAACTGGCACATACATACATACATCCGGACATCCATTCAGCCCTGTTGAACCCCATCTCGTCATCTGACCAATTACGAAATCTCCATGAGCCAAATCAACAAGCAGCTGTCGCTATCCCTCGGGGTTGTCGTGATATGGAACCGATCACGCAGAGAAACGGGATTTTCCCCAACGGAATATTCCCCTAATAACCAAATGTATGAATGAATGGTATAGGTTCACCCAGGCCCCAGTCAGCGGCAACGGTGTTTACACGCAGCCAATTCCATGCAAGACTGAAGATCCATTCCGTGTCGTTCTCTTTAGGCATGAACCAGTGCCCCAAATAGCTTTAGCCTAGCAGTTCCCAACAGTAATCCATGTTTTCTCATTTTCTTACCCCAACTATCCTTCCCCTCCTCCGTGAGCACACCCTCTCACACACACACACACACACACATTCTCTCTCTCTTCTGCTCCGTAATATGCAGGTATGATGTATCCCTGGATGTTCAACAGCATCCATGCAGTTTGGTAACGTAACAGTTTCCTGCTCTTCAGGTTGAACAAGACATGACATGGACATCAATGTATGCCGACTGCTTCTGCAAACTTATGTCCATAGATGTACAGATTTGCAAACACATTGTGTCATCCATAGTGTTTTAGAGTTAACTATCAACCCTTAGCAGAGCCTTGATGGGCAACCATGAAGCTGCTATGCAAAGATCCCAAGTTACATCACATTCCCTGGAACTTCCAGTTCAGTCCTTGGTGTCCCTCTCCCAAGGGAATCGTCCAGCCAATATTTACCACCCCATTCCGCAAAGATCATGGCTGTACAACCCTCATTTCGGTCCATTCCAATCACTAGACCAGATAAAAGTATCGCAACGCCACTGATCGCCTGTCTTCTTAACTCCAGATGGGCCGAGGGGTCTAGCACAGATCCAGAACGACCGCCCACAGTTGATCCCTGCCTTTTTCGTTACAAGACTGATGCAGGGCTCATGATGCCCTGAGCACCTTGGCGCAGGTTTCTTCGTAAAGATTCTTGACCACAATTCTTTGTTGGCGATTGGATCATGCACGATGCAATCATCATTACTATCTCCACCGTTTGCCAGTGGCTCAGCTGTTTCTTGCTGTTGCCCTTGAGTTCCATCATCTTCGGGTCCACAACCATCACCGGGTGGGCAAGAATAAGTGATGTCTAGAGGGCTTTTCGCTGCTTCTTGTTGTTCATTTCCCACTGCCGCCGGATCTGAAACCTTCGGCGAATTCGTTTGATCATCTGCAGTAGAACCGGATCCTTTGAGACCAAAAAATCCTTTTAAGCTTTTTTGCCCTTTCGTCCGCGCGGTAGCGATGGCCGAAGACTGACTTCGCTTCAAACGTTTAGATCGCGAAGTAGTACCATCATCTCCTTGTTGAGACCGTTTAGGAGTGCTGGGTCCCCATGGTGTGGTAGAGGTACTGGGTGAAGCTGGCCCAGAAATGTTAGTTCCGAGGGTATCCTTCTGGGGTACCGGAGGGTTGGTGACGCCAGCAGAGTTTACGTCACCCTGGCTCGCTCCCTTCGAACTTTGTCGAAACAACATATCTTTGATACTTCTTCGCTGGCAAAATTCAGGAATTAATCTACCTGAGAGTGGCAGGACGTCTGCGGTCGAGTACTCCCTCTTCCGCTCTCCGTTTACAAACATACCCTCTGGGTTCAAAATATCGAGGATGTGAACTTCCATGTTGTCGAGCGACACCTTGTCCTTGATATCAGCATAAACCGGACAGTGGTCAGAGCCCTATAATTAGTTCTATTAGCCTTGCGTATATGTGGACAATGACAGGAGAACAAAATACCATTAGACCCTCCTGGATATTCGACGCACAAAACCAGTCTCGCATAATTAGACTGCAGAGGACATAATCGATTCGTGACCCATAATTTCCAGGTCTAGCATTGACCCTCTGCTCCCAGCAAGTATACATACCTCGTCGATCAGGGTGGTACTCTCTACACAAATCCACCAGGACGGGTGTTTCCCTTCCCTGGTCCCTATCTCCAATGACTTTCCCACCACTGACAAGCTGATTAAAGATACGACGAACGGGCGCAGAAACAAATTCAGAATTTGTCGTCGTACTTTTCCTTATTTCTTCAAGGGCACGTGCTGAGTCGATCTCAGAGCCGGATATATTTAAGTCTCCCGTCAAAATCACTCGCTTCCCCATATCAACTAGGTTCCGAACACGAGCATCAACCGCATTTACAAAGGCTTTTCGAAACCCATCTCGCATCTCGTCTCTGTTCGCAGGGCAATAGACACCAAGTAAAACGAACGCTGGAAACTCCAATATCACACATCGTCCTTCAGAATCCAGCGTGGCTGCATCTATATTCGAAAGTGCCAGCTGTTCAGGAGTGGGATAGCCACCAATCTGCTGCTCTTCCGGCATTTCACGAAAAGACGTAAGAGCAGGAAAAGGGCTAGTAGATGAAGACGCCGGTGGACAAAGGATACCCGTGATTCCCTCTTCGGCCCTTATGGGGCAACATTTAGAGTTCCGTGTATATATGACAACTCCAGAATACCCTATTCACGAGTTAATACATATAGAACATATATATATATATATATATATCTGTTTTATATTAGAAGTGCGTGGTAGACAGAATACAACAAGCCTTTTTTCTGCTTTGGGAGGCTAAAGAAACAATCCCAGCCATTGACAAGGACCATGTCATCTTGCAAGTCCTTCTTTTGGACCTTCGCTTCCTGGAAGATGACTATGTCTGCTTCGAGGGCGTCGAACATCGCCTATACACGGAGTATAAGAAATATATTCATATACAAAACTTTATGATTCAAAACTGAATGTATAATATGATCTTACGTACTTCGAACGACCGCTTCTCCCTCCATGGGTGATACGCGAACGGGTTGCTAAAGACATCTCATTACTCTTTCTGTAACAAAGTCTGCTATATGTTAAAATCATAACACTGACCGTATCCCATTAACTGAAATCATGGTATGTTAGCTATTTTCTATCCTACGAAGGATGTGGAGAGCAAATAATCCATACCATTCCAAGTTGTTAACCGGACCATCTGTGACGCCTCCTTTTGAAGGAGCGTTGGTAGATGGTCGTTTTCAAAAGCATACAGGCACCATCGAATAGTATAAGCAGCCTATCACAAATAAAGTTGTTCGATAAAGATTCACCATATACACGCCATCTTCAATGACCGCGACGGGGTTTTCTGAATAAAAGTGTGCGAGGTATCAATTCTCGTAGTTCTTCGAGCTCTTCGAGTAGAGCTGTGATCACATGATCTCTAGTTATACCCCCCAGAAGAACCCGTGACCAGGTGGTCCAACCTGGAAGTGAATCGGTGCGAATATCAACAACCATCCGACGCCACAATTCCATCTCCAAACTCCCAAACACACAACGCGCAACAACCATCAATTACCCTCCCGCATAAGTGACTGGCCTGAAACAATGCTCACTCGCCCCTCCGCTTTCCGCCTCGCCCAGCGAGTTGGCGCCCCCGCCGTCCGGTCGAACCCCGTCCGCTCCGGTCTGCTCCAACGCCGCTTCACCAGCACCGAGCAAAGCGGCCCCGTCCTGCCTGACAATGCCTTTAACCGTGAGAGAGCTGCCGTGAAGGCCCATGCCGCCGCTACCAGTGGTAGGTTTTCTCCCCGTTTGCAACGAACACAGCGGCTCATTGATATGAAGAAACCACCAATTCTGACCGTGGCTTCTTTCACAGATTTGTGGCGGAAACTTTCTATCTAGTATGGCCATACCCTTCTAATCCTCCAATGTCTTGTCCAACCCTTTGCAATCCTGGAACATTCTGTTCAGCTTTCAGTGAATAAGGAAATAGGGGAGAGATTGTCTATAAGCACGGATTTATTAATTGTCATGCGAAATCTAGCGGAGTGATTCCCGTCATCATCCTTGCGAGCATCAATGCGTGGAATTTGTGGAATGAGCATTGGGAGCACTGGGAACATATGCCGCCCTTGGAAGAGCGGGTGGAGTATCCCTACCAGAACATTCGCACCAAGAACTATCCTTGGGGAGATGGTGATAAGGTATGTCCTTCCCTTCTGTTTACTTATATCAACTTTGGTTCTTTATATGTTTACGCTGGAAATCGATCAGCTAACGTATTTCACCAAAATTATAGACCCTGTTGTAAGTCTTCCCCGCGAATTTCCCTGTGTCTTCTTCCAATCCCTCCCTTCCCCGGGGTTTGATACGGCTCTGTGGGGAAGGCGAAGTTTGCTTGAGTTTGAGATGGCAGTCCCTGCCATTGTAGACACATTATCTCCTTGATAAGAAGAAAGATGTTTTGCTGACAAAACTATTTCACCAGCTGGAACCCTAAGGTAAACTACCACAACCCGAACAAGACTACTTGAATGTTTTCCACCTCAATCCCGTGCGGGATTCTGCAACAGTACGGAAAGGCCGGATGGAGAAAAGAATGGGAACCAATGTGTTTAATACAAAACATCGTCGTCATCGTGGAGGTCGTCCTCGATTTTTGCAATCAATGCAATGCAATCCTCCTTCGGAAGTTGTGTCGTGTTTCCAGCACAACTCTCACTCTGTCATGTAAATAAAATTTTCTTTTTTTATGTAATGTTCCCTTGGTTAGAATATGAAATAGCATTCTCGTTTCCATGCGATATCGAATTACTGTGTGCTTGTACTGTATATCAACTCTTTCCGCTGCTTCTCGCATTTCGATATCAACATCTGATACCAATTCGGAGGTTCGAACACACCGATCTGGAAACCTTAAAAAAGACCGGGTGAAATACCACACTTTTCCTTTTCCGGCCTAGCCCCGACTACCACTTCGAACGTCGTGTCGTTGAAGAGTAGAGTTGAACGAACAATGTCGAATACAAAGCGTCAGCTTCTCTCGCCGTGATGCCAGTAGCCATTATTCCAAGGCACTAACAATAAATAGATACGCACCGCAACCAATTTTTGGAATCTCCATTAGAACCATACACACCACCCGGCCTCAAAGATGGCCACCAAGAAAGACATGCGGAGGCCAGATCTAGGTATGGAACTTTCGCGGGGAACCCTTCACTCCTTGAAGTGGCCCCGTGCTGGGAATAACTGATTCGATGGTTCAATTGGTATATGCATGTATACTGACCGCACAGCTAGTTGTTCCATATGTCGAACCGCCTGAGAAACGGCAGGATGCGGACATGAACAGTATGTCGCGCCAGTCCAGCAGAGAGAACATTTCCCCTTCTTCCTTCTTGCCATGCTAAGCTATATATAGGCACGGTGTCTAGCACGATGCCCATGGCTGCTGTATGTTTTAATTTCCTGATCTCCTGATTTCCCTGATTCTGATCCTGATGTCTTATTTCTTTTATTCCGAACTTTTGAAAATGCTGACTAATTGTTCTACTAGATGTTTACGAAGAATAAGTATGCCGCCGCTGCTGACATCCACGTCTATGGGGACCATTCGCTAATGAAAAATCTCCCGGCGACCATAGGATGATTGCTTGGTATGCGTTATCCTAACTCGTCATATTGATACCTTCGGTGAAATATTGTCGGGAACATCTCGAACTGACTATCCAACTCCTGTCCGTCTAAAAACAGGGCTTCTGTTACCTTCTCTCTCCAGAGCTGGATGGCAGAGACCCCCCAGCAGAGGAAGAAGGCCTCGACGCCGGGATATATGGCTGTGATTATGTCTTGTGAGCACAACATCTCGAGCCCTACACTACTTAATGGATTTCCATCCTTGCCCATCCACAGCTAATACGTGTACAATTTCGATATAGTCGTGGCCGTCTTTGTCGTACGTTTATCCTCCTGTAGCTTTTCGCCCTCTTGTATTTCAAATCGGCAAGATCGATTTTGTCTATTCTTCGGAATCTGGCTGGTGGGCCAAGATCTTTGCTAATGAGTCATCGTCAGACATATCTGCCCCTATTTTTGCCTCCCCCGGGGAACACAGGAACGAAAACGGCAGCTCCCCCTCCCGTTCCATCCTCTTGACCAATACCCCATAACCATGTACTTCTTTTGGTGGAAGTTACCAATATTCTTTTATTTTTTCCTTTCAGCGGTAAGGTTATCTACGATGAAGGATATATTCATGCAGATTCGCCATCCCGAAAAGCCCATAACAATTCCCCCAGCGAGTTTCATGTTCAGGAAAATACTTTCAAAATCCATAAATACTGCGATTGTACATATCTGTACCATACTTAATTATGCATTTATTTTCATTCCTTTCCTTTCTTTTTCCTTTCTCACTTGACTTTTTTGAAAATGCCGCTCAGCGTCTTTTGATGGGCGAAATTTCCATATAAGATTTTAGCCCGAATCAACCCTTTTTTTTTGTTTACCCCCTTTCCAAAAGAACGATATAAACCCCCATGTGTTTTCTCTTTTAACTATTAAAATCATTTTTCCTTAGAATAAATTCCCCCGATGCCCCCACAACAACCATGTGTTTGGCTGAAAAGCTGCAGCTGTAAAGTATCGCAAACCGAACCTGCCAGCCTTCCCGCCCCTACAAGCCTCCTGAACCCCCTTGGCCCCCTCCTGGCTCGTGGTGGTGAATTTCAAACAAAGAATTTATAAAGCTCTCCCCAACCCCCCTTCTCTCCATTACGTCGTTTTCTCCAATCCCCGTTACATTTCAGACCATGCACTCCAGGTCCAGGCTTTGTGTTATTCAATTTCCACCATCCTTTTCCAGCTACCGTCCCTTCCAGCCCACCCATTTGTGTCTCACGGCTCTGTGTTATGTGTTGTGCGATAGCATTACATTATGTTGGGTGAATGATATTGGGGCTGGGTACATATTGTGTGAATAGGTGGACGCCCAACCAGCTCCGGTACAAAAATGTTGGAGGCGGGGAAGGATGGCAGGATGGCGGAGGATTTACACTTGCGATGGGCAATGGGGTGTTGTGTTTTGGAGGCTGGACAAATGAGATATCACTGGTTTGGCAACGACAGATATTTGCGGAGTTTGCGAGGGGTTTTGGAAGGCTGGAATTTTGTTGATGTTTGTTGTTGAGGTTTAGTTGCTAGAGGCATCCTGGGCAATCTCGGTGTTTACCCCAGTTTCCCGGGGGCGTTGATAGGGAGGAAGGGGTTTGGATCGTAACAAACAAACAACGCTGTCTACACTATCTGGACTACTTAATCTCAGAGACAGACCAGCTCAAGCTGGAGGGACGCGTCAACTACCGTCTCAGATAGGCACCTTTCTTGAACAACCGGCAAGGTATCCCTAATACTCAAGCAAACTTTCAGTATCGTTCCCCATTGCTGCTGGCTAGGAGCTACGCATTCTAGCTGAATCCAATGGCGATGTTGTCTGGTCCCTCCCTGCTATGGGAAAGCCATGAAGCGGGTCTCCTCAATGGTGAGATTTTCAATCATGAAAGATGATAACTGACACTCAGTTTCGCTAATTTATTTCATGATCAGCCAATGGCGAAGCCAGCCGTAAAAGCGACTTTGATTATCTTAGCAAGGTTGCCACCTCTTTTATCAACTGCATCAAGGAGGACGCCATCCATATCGAGGGCAGCAGCGCCAACAAAATGTTCGAGGCTGTCATGATCGAATTTCGTCGGCTATCAGCCCACCCATCTCTCTTCCCGTCTGATGAGGCCCGCTACCGTTTCTGGATTCTCGTAAATTTGGCAAGGGACGAGCAGATCGAAGCATTCAGGGCGAAGAAAAACGCGAAGACTATGGAGGGTTTCGCTAGGCGTGCCAATCTTCTTGCAAGAGAGGAGGATCTTCTCGTACAATCTCTCAACCGTCCCTCGTTCAAGCCAAATCTGCTTCCTTGGGAACAGTTCCTTCTCAAGGGGAGTCCTGGAAGTGGCGTACGGTTGCCCGATACCGCGCGCAATGCTACTGTGCGGTTGATGCCAATCGGAGGAGTGGCTCTTCATCTCAACTGGCTACGAGAGACAAAACGCATCCAGAAGGAATGTGAGAATGTAAGCTCGACGATCTACACCTTAAAGCGAAGGCTGTAAACAGTGTACTAATGTCATTCCTGTTCCCAAAGTCCGTCCTTCTAAAAGGAAAAACCAATGCTCCTTCTACGTCGGAACAAAGCGAAGTAAGTATAGAGTTCTCCATCGACATTCCTTTTTTTTTCTTCTTTTTCTTCTTCTTCTTTTTTTTTTTTTTTTTTTTTTTTTTTTTTTTTTTTTTGGCAGTCCAGTCGTTATCGTCGACGGATTGTTAATTTAATTTCGCAAGCAGCTTCCTCCCGCCCGGGATGAAGAGATTCCTTTTTCTGGACTCGAACACAGACATAGCTGGGTAAGATATTCATTCGACCTGAGAAGCGCGTAAGGCTTTGCTTAACCCATGTGCTCACGATAATAGGTTACCTTGGCTCCAAACCCCTACCTTGAGGTACTCTCTCCGGCTGCCCTGGAACTTTTAGAAGACATACTCTTACCCTGCCGCAGAGATACCAGACAATGCCCCGTGAGAGTACAGTCATCGATCGCCTAGAAAATTTTACCGACGTAATTGGTAAGAAATTTTTTCTTTTATCTAATACATATCGTTGAATATCTTAGATATTAACTCGAACTGTAGAGGCACTGGAGGGCGAGCGGCTCGCGGATTACAGCAGAAGTCCTCTTGGGATAAGAGCAATGTTATATGAGTCTTGTAACCCAGATTTGATTTAGTTATGTGGCACTCAAATCGCACAGATGCTCTAGGAGCAGATGTTGTAGGGAATCAATAGATTACATTGACAGAGCAAGGAAATGAAAAACTATGCTAATTATTGCTATACTGAACGAAGTTGTTTTTGCGGATGCAACTATTATTCTCCGTCGTTGGGTGTGCGATTAGTCATAGAAGTTTAACTAACTATGCACTTAGCATCAACATCGATTAGCAGTGATTTTCTGTCACACTGGCTTACTTGTATCCAATCAAAACCTCAAAGAGGATGGCAAGAATGGAATCCATCTCTGTCGGCTTTACCGACCCTGCCGGGCTGGAGAAAATAAAACCTTGAAAAGTTGGGGTAGGATCTGGAATGAATATTTGATGAAAGATCAAAATGGCCAGGTTACAATGACCTGAAATGTGAATATATGACCCTACGGTGAATGACCTGAGAAAGTGTCCAAAGGGGACAATTTCTTTGTTCTTGTTAACGTCCCCCTCGAACAAATGACACTTTCCTCTTTACATCTCAACCCCTCCCACGTTTTTTCCAACCCATAATAAACTTCCTATTCTTTCCTCCCTGCTTTCATTCTGCTTCCTACGTCCTCACACAACTCTTCCCAACGCTCTCATGAGCGCCTTTGGCAATTGTCTATTTCCATCAGTCTTTGTTTAAAAACATTCCCTCGCTCCTATAGATTGGAGACAATAAACAATTCAACCAACCTCTTTGCCAGGATGATAGGAAACGAAGTCTCTGCCGTCCAACAGGCATTTAACAAGCTTTTTACGACCTTGACTCCTGATCAGATTCAGGACTTCCAGCAATTTTTGCAGCAAGTTAATACTGCCAACAACGCTGCCAATAACGCTGCCAACAATGCTGCCACCAATGCGGTCAACGTTGCTCCCAGCAACACTACCAGCAACATTTTCGGCAACACTTCCGGCAACGCTCTTAGCAATGTTCCCAACAATGTCAACAATGTCGCCGCTACTATGCCTTCAGTGGGTCATGCGCCTGCTAGCCTTCCAAACACCAGTCTTAGTGCTAGCATGACGATGGCAGCTCCGATGGCAGTTCGAGCTCCAGCTCCATCTCAAGTTACAGCTCCAAGGGCAGCTCCTATGACAGCCCGAGCAAGACCTAATTCCATGTCTCGAACTCAAGCTTCTCGTGGGAAACGCGGTCGTGGGAATGGAAAGCTGCGCCCTCTCAATTCATTCATAGCATTCAGAAGTAAGTTTTCAAATAGGTCCATTGAGAAACTAAAATTAACAAACCCATAGGCTTCTACTCTACTGTATTCCCGGATCTTTCCCAGAAGATTAAATCTGGTTTGCTGCGCCATCTCTGGACATCTGACCCTTTCAAAGCAAAGTGGGCAATCCTTGCGAAGGCATATTCCATTATTCGTGACAGTCATGCTGATCAGGTCAACTTGGAATCTTTTCTAACACTAAATGGGCCATTGATTGGAATTGTGGGCCCGAAAGACTACCTTCGCGTGATGGGATTACAACTGGCTGTGAACATGGACAAGCAATTCTCCGTCATGAAAACCAATCCACTCATTGGGCCTACTCAGGGTGACTTGACGACAAACCTTTCAGTCGATGACCTTGTCGCTCACTGCTATCAGGTTGGTTATGTCGCAGGGGCCATTTATCCAAACAACGGCAGCCAAGGAGTTGGAGTGGCAATGGCAGTGGCTGCTCAACCAAACCACGCTCATTTCCCACAAACCCTTGGACTTCCCCAACCAATGATCCAGAACCCTGACCCCGTTCTTGGGGGTGGGAGTACGGACGTTAACAACGATCGCACGAATACTTCTGGTATTGGTTCTGAAGCTGACAATGATCAGACATCCATCCAGGACAACGGTGTTTTACCCATTGAGGTTCCTTACTATACTGTGGAAAATATCAATCAGGAAATACGGATCGCTATGAACGAGCTCCCTATCGACATTGAAGGCACCAATTACTTCGCTGTATTTAACCCTGAACTTCGCAATTCTGTATTTAACTACCAACCATACCGTGTCCAAAGCGACTTCGACCCTTACGATATTACCGAGTACCTTGACATCTAGTCCCTCGAGAACATACAGCCTGTTCAAACGCACTTGAACACCGAGTGGGACTTTCGAACTAATTGCATCGGGAAGGCGGTAGGTACATGGATAGACGGAGTTTCTAGGCGTGATGGGAGTAAACGAATTAGCTTGTGACCTAAGATAATAAATTGGTTTGTAAAAATTGTGATATCCTCAGCGTGGCAATCGTGAAATTTTAGATCAAAGATGGTGGCTAGCTCAAATAAAAAATTTGAATTCCAAGAAACTCAGATGCGAGTAATCTCCCTGCCTTGACATGAACATCATGTTTACTAGGGCCATATCAGCGTGCAGCATGTCGAATGACTGGCCAGCCAACCATATCAACAGCCAAGTACCCTGCTCGGCCTGATTACTACCTAGGTACACCAGTTATAGGTGTGGTTGGGATAGAGTTGACAAGGGTCCGATGGCTTGCCTGTGGGCTGTGGGTCTGTGTGTCCTTAACCGGCCTCACTGGCCTGTGGCCTGCAGATACCCGCGGGCCTGCGGGATCCACTCGCGCCAAGGTGCACTGGACGGGCACTTGTGTGGAACGTCCAAGCCGTCCAACAACTTAAAACGGACTCGGGAGTAACATGTCTCACACCAGAACATTTTTAAGTTTGCCCTTGGCGCTCCAAATCGATTTCTTTGTTTGGAGATATCACTATCTACAACAGCTGATAGCCTACCTTTGTTGATCCATAACTCCTCGCCTGTGTGGCACAGTCGCAGGAAAATATCCCACAGTTAGAGTTTACGTCTTGTCTTCTGGCAATACGAATACTGCTTGGACCGTTCAAGCATAATGGACAATATCTCAAAGACCGTTTCTGAGTAATATACTCCGCACACTCCGTATGCCAATACCCTAATATTTCCCGCGACAACTCTTAATTATAGAGATAGAACTGGACAACTTATTCACACAACCTTGGAAGTCATCACGTCCGACACATGACTTGAACTCCCTCCAAGGCTGAATTCCAAACTTACGTAGAAGAGAAAATAAACATATACTCTTGTTATAACACATTATGTCCGAGCGAAATATGCAGGCAATTGATTTTATTTGGAAATTTATTTGAAAACTGTTTTTTCCTACTGACTTTTCTCCTTCGTTATCAGCAGTCTATACAAAGACCGTTTACGGATTATTGAGTTATGTGAGGTGAGTATATTTCTAAGTTACTACATCCACTCCCACTCACTAGTTAGCTTATTTACTGAGAAATTTCATATGTAAGGCAGTCTCAAAATCTCAAGCCAATCATCTAATAGTTAACTTATTAATTTCATTCCCTCATGTTAAGAATCCTCTTCCCTAGTCCTCATGTGGATTCCACAGAAATCCCATTCAAAGTCTTCTTCACATCAATCGACATGTATAATCCTAGAGATTTCCGAGTAAGCTAGTTAACTAGTTAGTTATTAGTTAGTTATTTGTAAATTTACGAACAGTGCCAACTTTCTGGAGATCAACCACTTCATCATATTTTCCAATGATCCAGATCTGGCACTATTGTTATTATTGCAAAGAAATAAGGAGAAACATCGAGAAACGGCTGGAGACAAAACCAGTTGTCATCGAGCTGTAGACGGGAGAAATTTGATTCCACTTTAAATAAACCGGCCCCCATTTACCCTGGTCCGATATCTTTTTTTATAATCAGGGAACAGAGGAGTTAAACCCTCAAAGTTTGAATTCGGGGGTCTAAGAACCATTTCGAGAGAAAATGATGAGGTTGTATGAACCGAAAGACTCGTTAACTACCTGTCATGACATAACCAAGCTGTTATTAAACATGATATCTCATGCCCGGGTCTGGGCAAGTTGAATGTTCACACTGTATAGAGCACAAAACAGAGCACGGAATACGAAGAAAAGACATACATACATTATTAATTATTGGACCATACAGACCAATTCATCCGTCGACAAAGCGCGGTTTGGCCTGTCAAGTCTACAAATAGCAGCAGCATGAAGCTTTTTCACTCGCACCGCTCAGTGTTGTGACTATCTGCCTGAACAATTCCAGGTCTCTTCTTCCCTATTATTATTCGATATCGCTGTTTCACGCCTGTTAGATTAACTCGAAATGATAGATCAAGTGGTTAACAACACAGATTTCCGACTTCGAACCCAATTGGTGCTGGCACAATCTCGCAAACAACAGCATAATGATGAAAGTTGATACGGCAAATTTTGCAATTACCTTTGTCCTATGGTCTGGGAACTCTCAACATTACTTAAACTTCGCGAAGAATCTGGGAAATTCCTCTCTTATCTGGTATGTATCTCCATAGGTAGGTAGGCATGTATGTATATGACATTACATACGTTATACACAGTACCTGCAGGATGTCGTGGTAAAATTAAAATTTGTCGTGCGTACGAGTGTCCCACTTCACTCCTAGGCAGCCTGGAAAAGGGCTTCAGGTTTGTCCATCAGATACAGTTAACTCATTGTAAAAAGCGTAAGGATATAGACTGTACCATCGCAGAGCTTTTGTATGTACAGTGTTTACATGACTGTGCACGTGTAAGGTATTCCGTGCCTAGGTACTCCAGTCGTCGAATTGTCTGTGTAGACAGGGACTCTCATCCAGTACTGCCAACTAGTGACAAGTCGTTTTCAACAAAAAAAAACAACTATAATACTTCATTTGTCCCTAGATCCCACAAGTGTATCCATACAAACTCTGTCCTGAGCCGGCCTGGCATATTTTATTTCACAGTGTTCTGCAAGCTGTCTTTTACGCACAGAGCTTACCCTGCACCTTATCGCGATCCAAGCCCCGGATCGGATAACACTGCTGTCGTTTATAGTAATAATCCATCACATAACAATGACTATGCTGATGAATAATAGGATTATTTATCGCAATCTCGCTTTTATCTAGTTAATGAACCTAAACAGCTTTGTTTGTCAAACACTGTGACACTACTTAGTATATATGGAGTTACGGAGTTGGATTGAAGAAATCATCAGCAACTTGGCCCAAATAATGAATAGCCTCAAATCATAATGTTCCTGAAGAAACCCCCACGATATTCAACAGTGGTCACTTCGGTGTATTGGCGGTAAGCTAAGCATACACCCCGTCGAGAATAAGAGAAAGAATTTTAAGCTCCTCAAATCCCTTGATCGATCGATCGACTCCTTCATCCAACTTGATCACGCCTTCAGAATAGTTAAATATTATTGGAAGAAGGGATGTTAAGCAACCTACCTAGGTACTTAAGTACATACATCCATGGATCCTCATGTTATTGAAGGGTTGTTATATAACTATAACCCCAGCCTCTTTTAACTTGGATATTTAAGTGACTTTAGTGAGCGACTCTATAATATTTTGAACACTAAGGAGATCCGAGCTAGATTAAAATCTAGACCACGGTGCGAACCAAACAATTCCCACCCCATATAAGCTTTAGTTTAACTAGTAGTCATAGGCAGCCGCATCAAATATCTTGATTCTGAAAGATCAAGCAAGAACCAAGTAGTTACGAAGAATCGTCTGTGCAACCACATCAATCTTCCTTGCTTACCTCTGCCTACGTGTGTCCGACATCCACCACTTGCATACTTCTCTCATATAGTCAAGTTGCTTGCAAAAGAGCGGTTTATTAATTAATTTGTTTGCTTCGCTTCAGCAATATAAAGGTGCATAAACATGCAGGCTAGAATAGAAGGGAGCAGCCTTAGATCTCTTTGGTTGATCAAAGTTAAAGATAACCTCGCATGACGGCCGTTTGAGGGAGACCTAATGACTTGATCGGGACCTTCATGCTTGAGTAAGATAGGAGATTTCTATTTGTATGTAAATCAAACAAAGTAGACGCTGACTCCATCCGCCACTCTCATGCATTATACTGACTTAATCCAGTGCTAATGCAGTTAGTTATCACACTAAGCCGTTCTTGGGCCACACATATTACAGTAAGATCCGAACTTTTCCACCATTCTCTCTAAAAGCAGGAAATATGGACAAACAAATTGGTAGGAAGTGAGGCGATGAAAAAAAAAAAAAAAAAAGGAATCGTTTTACCCCGTATAGAATGCCAGTGAAGTAAGGGATGTAAGGGATTCTAGTTCGACGCCTTGAAGGCATGTGAAGGCTGTGAATGCAGAATCTTTTTTTGGCCGGCTAGTCAAACGGATGGATTGGTCAGGAAGGACTTCGTTATGCTTTCTTCTTCGGATAGCAAAAACAAAAATAAAGGTTTGCATGAGTTCTACCACGAGGAGGCGGGGGCTGTTGAGAAGAGTAACCTTTCCTCGTTGTTTAACTCCCATTGTGAGCAAATGGAATATAACTCGTGGACAATGAGTAGGGTTATATCGTTCGTATTACAATCTCGACTGTGATTCTGCACAAACTTGAAGTAAGTGGCGTTGTTAACAGTTTGCTTCTATTGTATTAGGGATGAAATAGACTTCTAAAGATTTATTGCATGAGTAGCTTGAAACGTTCGGATTGGTCGCAGTCAGCCACTTAGTCGACGCAAACGGCCTTACACTGCTATCCCTTGCATAACAGATGGAAAACGAAATGCGGGGAAAGGAATGTAATATTTTCGAAATATAATATACCATTTGGGAGGTTTTAGTGTTGTCACATATGCGAGGTGAAGGGGAAAAAAGTGGCAAACAGGAAGGGAATGCAGAGAGCCGCTAGGATAACACACACAGGATTTGGATGCTAATATTAAAATGGCGAACAGAAAGAGAGCATGAGAGCATAGTAAGAATATCACAATTGAGAACCCCCTCTACTCCATATATGAAATTTTACGCATTTCGCCTAGCCGCTGTCGTGCCTGCGCGAGGCTATTCTCGAGTTGGAGGATTTCGACCTGGTTAGAGGCACAGTGATTAGAACATGCTGTCTTCCCACGTAATGCAAAGAAGAATGCAGGTAAGGACAAGAATGGGGAATATAAGCGCCCATTTTCATTCCAGAACACCGGCTTGGAAATAAGAAAGTAGGGTCAGAACAAGAGTGTTGTGGCTCCTGTTCTGGCGGGAGGTTTCTAGGAATGGAATATAACCTCTGCATGCAAGAAGTGTATTGGGACAAAGAAAAGCACAGAAGACAAAGACAAAGAAAAACAAAACAAAACCTAAACAGGAAAACAACCAACATACCTGCTGCTCCATCTCGCGAACTTTAAACTCATGACCACTGAGTTTCGTGTAGTCGACTGCCTCGGTCTCATCACGATTCTTTTCCGCTATGATGGCCTGCACCTGGCGCACCAGACTCCTGCATGCGGCGCCTACAGCCCTACTGGCAGTTTCCAGTCGATCCTGCGTCTTGCTCATGAAGGTTGCTTTAACCCGGCTGGAGGCAACGAGCTGTGCCGTGCTGGCAGCAACTTCATTACTGGCCACGATTAGCTGCTCCGGCGAGTTGCGTCCGGATATGACACCATCTGCTGTCTCGATTAGGGTATTAGTTGAAGTTGCGACGGCCTTGGCAGCAGAGATCAACCCTTCCGTCCAGCGATTGTTTTTCTTGTAGAATGCGGTCCTTGATGAGCTTCCGCGGCCCTCCCTGACGATCTCTTGTTGGGATGCAGTGGCGGCTTTAATTAGCTCTGCAATCGCCGTAGTTACAGCAATAGACGCTTCCAGGATGGAGTCATGGATGCGAAGCTCGTAGGTGGAGTAGCCCTCGCGCGGCTTCTTCTTTAATTTGGCGAGTCTTTGGGCAGCAGCTTCGATCGCGTTGGCTGCATTCGTAAGCTCGCGATCCACAATGTCTCCCAAATCACCAGTGCCAGTAAGCTTGCTGCTCTTCGAAGAGAAAGCGTCGACAATTTTAGAGAGCTTCTGTAAATTCATCAAGACTTCATGGTTGTTGTTGATTACTACGTCTGTCTTCTGTAGAGGTTCCAGTCCTTCTAGGCGGAACGATTGTAGACCGCGGAAAAACTTCACGGTGGATAGTGCAGATTGTCTCGCAGCACCCAACAGTTGATCGGCCTTCTTATCATCAGTAGCAAATCTAATCAAACCCTTGGAGTTGCTGAGCACATCCGCAATGGATCCTGAGAATATGCTGACAGTTCGGATGATTTCAGAGTGCGCGCTGTTTGGTCCGTCTGCAATGTAGTTATTAAATGCAGTGGAGAACTCTGTTGCACTGGAGGAAGCCTTTTCGATCTGTGAAAGGACGTAAGACGGGGAGGCGTTTTGATTCCCGGCTTGCATCGTCGAATCAAGTTCGTAGAGAGCATCGTCCACCCGCTGAATTCCACTTTGAAGAACAGAGTCGATAATGTCGTTGATCTTCGCGACAGAGTTATGGAGCACGTCATCAATTTGGGTGTCGAGAGCACGGTCAGCATCTCCTTGGTTCTATTTAAACACGTTAGCTACAACCAAGAAGATCAATACTTCCACCGCAGCATTTCCACATACTAGTTTCAACTCTTCCAACTCCATAAGGGCTTGCTCCATTCCAGACTTGTACACTTCAACTTCCTCATCCTTCTCCAGAAGGGCCTTTTCATAGTCTTCGTCTTTTTCACCATTATTTGCTCGAATCTCATCCAGGGCGCGTGTTTTATTCTGCAAATAGGTTAGCTCTAAATCACTACGACAGCAGGAACGATAGCTGAAAACGTACCCGGAGCGCCTCCTCAAGATCAGCCATCTCGCGGTTGTACTTGGAGAGAAGGGTAGAAATCTCAGAGCCCTTAGACCGTTCAGCATTTTCGGCTCTCTCGATAGCAAGACGAAGCTCCCGCTTAAGCTTCTCGACTTCCTCCCGATTCCCACCGGCAATGCGGTCCTTTTCATGCAACGCTCGATCCCGTTCTCTGATCATGTCTGCCAGCTCCAGATTTTTCGTCTTCATCTCACGCTCAAGCCTCTCCCGCCTATCGATGGCCTCTTGCGCAGACGCCGCTTTGAGCTTCAGGGCTTTTGTGTTCTGTAAAAGATCAAGATGTTCTTGCCGCAACTGAGAGTAGAGCTTCGCCAGGGCTTCATATTTCGTGCGCCAGGCATTGACCTGCTCCTGCAGCGCCCGTATTTGGTCATCTTTGGATTGGGTTTGCATGTTAAAATTTGCATTCAGCTGATTGAGCTGTTCTTCTAAATCCTTGATCCTCTTATCGTACTGCTGAAGCATGAGCTGATCCCGTTCGTACTGCGCGCGTGCGTTGAGATTCTCCTGTTCCAGCTCGGCTAGCCGGCCTTGCGTCTGCTGCTGATACTGGGTTTGTAGCAGCTGTTCCCGCGCTAGTCTTTGCTGTTCAGCCTGTAGTCGTTGTTGCTCCTCGAAATCCCTCTGGGCTTGCTGTTGGGCAAGTAATTGCTGACGTTGCTGTTCTTCCCATTGCTTTTGGAGCCGTAGTTGTTCATTTTCGAACTCCTCTTGTTGTCGTTTAGCCTCGGCAGACCAGAAATCATTGATGGGCTCTGGGTCAGGAACAGATGATTTGAGGGGTGGGCTAGGCTCGCGCTCAACTTCCCTGTCTGGTCGCTTAGGCAGAGCAGGTCGTACCTCATCTTCTGCAAGGAGGCTCGGTGGTTGTTGGGGAAGTTTCGGAACAGTGATCAAGCTAGTAAGGTAACGAAGGTTGGAACATTCGTAATAAAAATGAACAAGTCTATGATGCTGCGCATTATAGCGATTCCGTAGAGGCTCCAGTGCGTCTTCATCTCCAGTAGCTGTGAATAATGTTAGTTTTCTATAGGTTTACTATAAGTATGATGCTGCTCGGGAAGCGTACTCGTATGCATTGCCCGCAACATGCTCGTTATGAATTTATATATTCCATAACTCTCTTGAACAAGCGGCACCAATGCCGAAATCCTACACTCATTATTGGTGCTATGTCGAAAGTGTGAAAAAATGAGTTTCTGGAAGGAATCGATTTGATCCTGGAGATTCATGAGGTCTGTAATGGTTTCATAACTATGGAATTTTGTCAGCAAAGAAATCCACGAGAGAACTTGAAGGAAGATTCCATACCCTTCATTCGGATCATTTATAGTTTTAAGACTAATATATTCCTCATATTCGAATAGACCTGAAGGGTGAACATTAGCAATTGAAACAAACACTGCTGGTGGTCACAAAACACGACGGTAGTGAGAAGCTCACCATTGAATTCGGGATGGTTGCGGTGAAATGTCAGCTTTGATGATAAAAAGTGCACATACTCCCTAATCAATGATCCGTAGCCTAAATAGAGCGCATGTGTTAGCCGTGGAATTGAATTAACCCCAAAAAACAAACCACTAAAAAAAAATCTCCAGAACGTCATCTTAGGCCATGCATGAACGGTAGATCTATTTACCTCTAAGTCCTTCCCCCGCTACACCTCTGCTCAAAGAATCCAACCAGCCAACATGCGCCTGCGCTTCCCTAACTGTTATCGGATGGCCTTCCTGTAGAACCTTGTGTACCGTGATCAGCGCTTTAAAAGTTTGGACTTCGTCGGCTAAGACCGGTTGACTAGTAAATCCGGCATACATGCTCACGTTAGAACAGAATGTAAATCGACGCTGATGTCGAGTAAACGGGGTGTAAAGGTGATAACGGCATGAAGGGAAATGATAACAATGTCCAAAGACCTAAACACTCACACTTTCATGCCCGCCCAAAAACTCGTAGACGACTTGTGATCCCACGTATAAACAATGCAGCTCCGAACATGTTTGCCTAAGACATCCGTCAGAATAGACCCAGGAGATTAAAGGATATGGGACTGGATTGTCACTAAACGCCAGGGTGACGATTCCGAAAAACATACGTTTAGGCGCGGTCTCCTCTATCGATGGGAAACCCACAGAGCATTAGTTCAAAATGTCCAAGAACAGCAAGGTCGCGAAGGGCAAGGCTGGACTGGCTCATCTTACCAATACTGGTGGCCTTGCGGATATTAACCGCCAGATCTTGCTCCGTTCTGCCGACGATGAATCAGCCTGCCATTCTCATTGCATTTGCTCTGAAGGAGGCCACAAATTGGGCTGGGATTACTACCTGCTCATGTCGATATTCCTTGAAGTTCCCGACGAGTATCCCAGGGACATTTTTCCTGAGTGGTTGAAGGCGAGGCGAATCGAAATGCAGAACGAATTGGGTACATGTACAGTTGGAAGCCCACGGGACGGGACGGACAGTCAGCAAAGAACTGAGAGCTAGTTAATAATGGATGGAGTAGTTATGCAACTCGAGCACAGCTTCAACACGAGTGACGAGGGGCGCAAAACAGAGATTCTCAAAACACCAGTTTGGGTGTTACCACAAAAGAACGATGAAGAAAAACAGGCAAACCCCCAGGAAAGGCTCATCAGAATGCCATGCGCTGTATGGAGATTCCTCGTCGTCGCACTCGGCAGCGTCGCAATCGCGTGCTGAGTCAGCAATTCCCGGTCTTGGCGGCGTCGCCGCCCTCCTGCAGACGTTGTTGATATCCCCAATGCCCGGATATCCAACTCATGTCCGAAAATGATAGCTTGAGCGTTATGGGATATCCCAGCGCAAAAGGGTGATGGGTTCTTGAAACATGCTTTCTTGTGCTTTGAACCAAGAAGCTCCAGTTTTTACTTATCTCTCCACATCCTGGAGTATGCAGGCGTGGATAGAACTCAAACCACGGTTCGGATTGCCGATCGAGGAGTGCATCAAACTGTCCTTACCGATCGGCGGGGCATATTCTACTGCTGATCTAGATATCTAGATATTCAGACTCTAAAATAAAAAGCCAACAATCTGAAAATTTTGGTTCCGTGTTTAAAACAATGGTGGGCAAGGAAACATCATCGCCCGCTCTTGTAAAATCCGGAAGACATCCATCCCATGGTCGAAATTCATGAAAGTCCTTTGCGTCCTGATTCCTGGAAGTATGCTTATTGGAGGGGAGAGAGGCATGGAAAATTTACTGCGGATCCTGGACATCTATCTCCTCTCTAAGGTTCGAGTTTTGGTGCCCAACGACGGCGTAATCTCCTTCCTTCTAGGCTTCCAGGTTAAAACAAAAAGCGAAGAAAAACATTTCCTCTTAGAACGGAAATTTGGTCATTCCATAATTTGCAGAGTTTCAAACTCGTTCTATGTCAATAAAATCTTCCCTTTTTTAAGACTATCAAAATGCTGAGCATAAAAACAACGAAGAGGTCTCCCAACACCTTCTCCCAAAGAAAGAAAGAAAGAAAGAAAGAAAGAAAGAAAAACGAACAAGAAAACGCACATGCTCCTGAGCCAGGAAATGGGACAGTGACCTAACTTCCTTTGCTCTCTTTGCAAAGGAAGTTACCGGCCACTCCATGCCCTGGATGGAGTGTCTATACCATATGCAGGGTATTATATGAAACCAATTCAAGGTAAGAGCTAACTCCGTGAAACGAATACTTCTGTTATCTTCAATCTAGCATAAAATCATAGGAAAAAAGGAAAGGAAAGGAAAGGAAATGAAAGGCGTGATACTATGTTATCGCCTAACGCCCTGGTTGAATATACATACAATACAACGAAAAGAAGATAAATGGAGACGGGAAAGGTGATTGGATATAGTCTTACGATTGCATGAGAAGAGAACTATCTCGAGTGTGTTCAGGGGGAGTCGATTCCGGAACGGCGTCTGAAACTGTATTCTCCTCTGCGGATACAGCTGAAGCCTGCTGGAGAACAACTTCTGGTAGTTGTGAATTACTGCCCGAGTTATTATCCGGAACAAGTGCCTCTCTGTTCGATTCAGAATCTCCATGTTCTGTTGAAACGGAATTACGTCCAATATCGTTGGAGTTTACCGCCTCCAACTTGACCGGCGACATATCTGTGATCGGAGTTGACGGTTCTGAACCGAGGGGTGCTTCGATTATTAGAAGCTCGTCCGACGTATGTTCTTGATTCCCTTTAATCGACGGGCTGGGGCGGGCCGGAAGTGGGGGTTTGAGGATAGGTTGACGATCTTTCTGCGGTCGATCCGGTAGTAGAGGTGGAGGCAAGGGTTTGCGTCTCGGTTTGGGCATTGTATTCGACATGAATCCAAACTTATCGGGAGGCGGAAGGGGAGTGCCTGGTGGTGGGAGTGGGCGTCCTCGTCCAACTGGGTGGTCTGGTATTGTTAGTTTGTTGTCTCTCTTAGTAGATGATTCTCCACCCCGACCAAGGACATTCAATCCCCATTTTCGCGCAGCAGCAGCAGCTGATCCGATGGTACCTATTTGTCCGAGAGTTTGTCTTTCGGGACCTTTAGGATTCGATGTATCTGCTGGAAGCGGAGAGCCAGGGGCTTTGCTCAGGATCGCCGTCTCGCTTCTTAAGGACAAATTGGAGCTCCGTCGACTATCGGGTTTAGATTGTATGGTCGGTGATGAGCCATCGCGAATCGAAGGGGTACGAGGGAGAGCATGGGTATTCTTTGCGTCATCAGCTGGAATGGTGTCTTTATGCACTGGCGTTTTGTGCAATATTGACGCTTCCTTTGGAGGAGAGCCAACAGGAGTTCTTGATGGGGAACCCTGTTGGGAACGGTTAGAAATCTCGATCATGGTGGCTGTTGCATCACGTTCTTCCAATTTCGAATCCCAAGCCGTGTGGTCAACATTTGCGGTATCTGCTGTAACAACAGGGTCCGCGACAGGAGAGAATGTTTGCGACCGGATAGCTCGAGGAGGGTCTAAGCGATTTGGCCTTTCCACGCTGGTGGAGGTTGAGTAACTTATGTCTCCTAGGTGGGAAGGTATAGATCTTGAAGATCTTCTGCCGATTAAGGTCGGGGAGGGTGACTCTGGCATAGCATCATTCTTGCTGCTAGGTCCGTCAAAGTGGAGTGGAGACACCAGCTGTTCGGGGATTTCTTGATGATCTTCTGTTTCATCTGGAATCACAGTTTTCGGCTGGAGCTTTGGGGGGTGATGCCAAATTCCGCCACGGTACGTTTCGTGCTCCGTGTCCAAAAATGGAATGTCATCCCAGAAAGGTTGAACCAACGTTTCCGCAACTACTTCCCTTATCCTGCTCTCAATAGCTCGAAGAATCACGCCATATGTAATTTGCCTGGAGCTGACTATTGGCTCTATTGCCATTTCCATATGTGGCATGCTTTCAAATGAAAGCCAGAGCCGGTTGCTGGGCGGAGGTTTGAATCGCATCAGCCCGCGGCCCTTCAAGCCTTTTAACACAACTGCCAGAACCAAGTCGACTTCTCTAGGTTTGAAACGTGTGCCAAGCTCTATGCGGGCGGTGGCTGCCACCTCCAGGCGAAAATTTCCGCTGTAGTTGACATCCATCTCGACACAGCAATCACCATCAACCGTAAGATCCCTGAGCCTAGGATTGGTAATGAGTGGTGCCCCTTCCCCAGCATCGATCTTCTGGAGAGAAATTTTAGTGATAAAATTGGGCTTTTTCACTCGGGATATCTTCTTCGTTATCTTCTTCCGCATGAAGTCTTCCAGGACAGGGGTTTTATACATTGCTAGAAAAAGTCTGCCCATCAGCGCATTGATCCATCGTGTTTGAAGCTGTTCCTCGGATGAATGTATGTGCTTTACAAGGGCGATGATATGTTTCACGTCGTAATGCTGAGGTGTGGGAGGACAATCCGGGGATTCTGGAATCTTCTCAAGGTTGTTCATAATTGCAAAATAAAAATCTTCCTTTTCGGAAAGATTTTCCGAGAAGAGGTAAAATGGCAATGTAGAGGATCGCGATTCTAGCGTATTGGAGATTGATCCAGGTTTCCTCGTCAAGCAAATAGCGTTCCGCTTAATCCAGAGCTCCCCTTCAGGTATCCGTTCCCCCCCTCCGTAGATGCTGACGTCGTGATGTGCTAATGAGATCACATAGCGGACTTCTATTTGCTCTGCATCGTCGTAAAGCATTAAATGGCCATGTCTACAGGGAAAGGATAGTAATTGTAAGCATTGCTGCTGCCAGAAGCGAGAATGGGTATGAGGTGTGGGAGGATACAACATACCTAAGAACCACAAAAAATACGTTCCGGGCCTTCCTGGTGTTTCTCCCATTTCCTTTGGCAGGATCAATGGTTGAAGCTTGTTTTCGCTCAAAGATACTCCGGTACATGCTTTGGTAAACGCTTGGGCTTTCTGCTGCCACTACATCACCGGCAGGGGTGGACCTCTCGGGGGGTCTGCCATTGACCCCTCCTGGCACATATTCCCGGCAAACTGCAAAGTATCCCGCTGCCACATCAGACTCGTGGGCTCGTTGGAACTTTTCTGCTAGCACATCGGTACCAGATTTTAAGCTAAACCGGTCATCTGTCGGACGCCGGAGGACATCAACCTTTATATCCTCAGCTTTTTGGGCATGGTTTAGCGATGTTGGCAGGGTCAGATAAGCATGAAGGACGACGAGGCCAAGCACGAGCGGAATAAAGGTGACTCCACCAAGAACGTAGACGAGGAGATATCCACTAAAGGAATCCATGGGGAACTATTCCAGCAGATATCATCTAACGTGCTCCATCAGGAAACGGGAAACAGTAGGAATAGGATAGCTGAGTGAGAAGGCGCAGCTGCAAAACGGATAATATGGATATGGACTAATGCCAGCACTCAGAGCAAGATGGGATGGAGCCCAATTCCAGACAGCTTGAGGTTGGCTAACGGTCATCAGCCAATTATCCAGAGATGGCTGCAGGGTTTGGGACAAGTGAGGCTTTTGTTATTCGGGACAAGCTGGTCTCTTGGAGTTGGACCTTGCTGCCAATTCTTGCCGACGGGCAGCGCATGACATGGTACAGGTACCTCGCCCGAGACGGTGATTGGCCGTATGAACGAGGTAGTTTCGGGTACCTTGGCATTTCCCAGGCAGAAGAGCTGACTAATGGGGCAAACAGGACAAACTCCCAGCATCTTGGAGCCTCTTCTCAACCGTCGAAGAGTCAAGTTCAACTTCAACATCCAAAGGGCGTTTCTGAACATCCTCAGCATTGTGGTTTCTAAATGGTGACTGTAAGTCTCAGGAACTTTATTCCTGTTCTGCATCGGGCTACCGATTTTTTCAAAAGAGAAACAAACATTGATGCTTGCTCGGGCTCTGGATGAACTTCAGCCCAATGGAACCCTTATATGTCGAAGGAATCTATATCAATTCTGGCCTTCATGAGTGATTCACCGTGGCCCCTTATGGTCTGTAATGGACGATTTATCTCCGCTGTGCTGGTTGGTCAGACTCTTCATATAGCAATGCTTATCATTAAGGGACCCCGGGGATCGACTCTTGAATCCTTGGTCAAAAGCTCGGGAGGATCCTCAGCAGTATTCTCAGCTAAGAAATTATCAATTTTGCCGTTATTTGCCATGCCGTGTAACTTGGAGTTATGAAGCTAACCTTGTCCCAGAAAGGAGCAAAACAGGCACTATCAACAGCGAATCATTTCTGAATGGCCAATCAGTTAACTACATCAATAGATCCCAAAAACGGGGAGGTCCGAACTTCTGAACATCATAGCATCCCCACGACATGACATCAAATACATCACATTTTCCATGAAACTTCTTTACCTCCAGCCCTGCCGTCCGTCCTACAGAATTTCGGTCTATTCAAACACCAAAATACGTGAATTGAATATATAAATTGTGATTGGACATGTTTTACAGCTCCTGTTCCTTAATATTGGCCTTGGCCCTGGCTATTGGGTCCCAACATTCAAGCGCTTCGGCTGGCGTCCAATACCCCCTTGCAACAAACCCAGAATTAACATTGGATGGAGTTCCATTTGCTATAAGGGCCTATTGGATGCGCAGAGCCAACCAAGCACTGTCTGACCTGGGTTCTCCGTGTCCCTTCGCTGCATTCGGAACCGTTATCGTGAACCATACTAAGCAGGGAGAATTGGGAGACCTGATTTGCATTGGTGTAAATGAGAATAGTAAAACTGGGAACCCGACATCACACGGTAAACTCCCATTTCTGTTCTCAAACACTTGTATTGACCCTGAACCAGCGTTTGGGATTCCGTCCGCCCCTCTGGAGCAAACAAGAGCGATGCAGATTTTCATATCCATCTGTCTGTTTTTGGGATCCACACTTATTCAATTACCCTTTCAACGCACAGGTGAAATTGCTGCCATAACCAACTGCACCAAAGTCCTAACACACAAAAGTGGTCGATTCAAAATGACTCCTTCCCAAGCGCTAAATGCCTTCAAGGAGCTTACTCTCTATACTAATGCCGAAAGCTGTTCAATGGTAAGCATCCCTCAACTTTGCACCTTGAATCTTGCTTTTTGTCTCTCTCTCCTCACCCACCACCACCTCCATCAGCAGCCTCTAGATTTCCAACAAAGCCCTTGCTAATTTTGTTACATTCATCGTTTCTTTCAAAACAAATCCAGTGTACATCCGCCATTCGCTGGGCAGGGTTCAAAGAATACGTCTACGGATCATCGATCGAATCGCTGATCCGGAAAGGATGGAGCCAGATTCGCATTTCATCGCAGGAGATAATTGAGCGATCATACGACCTGCCCTCGTCGACCATTCTCATTGGGGAGATCTTAGCTAACGAGACTGACCCGTATTTTGCATGGCAGTATGACCCATCTGCTCCGTGTCCGGCGGGGTGTAGCAGGTCTGGACCCAGAATGAGTTGTAGAAAGTCTGCACGCCGCGACTAATGGGACTAGCTTGTGAGAGAAAACATTGGGATCTTGGGATATTTTTTCACATAAACAGCGGGACGCGATGAGTTTGTCAACATCATTATCATTACGTTCAACCAAATATCGTGATGTACGTTCCTATTTAGTAGTTTATTCCCATCTCTAACTTTGCGGTTTTATCTTGGATTTAGAACTTATTGTCTCCCACTATGAAAACATGTTGTGATTAGATAACCAAGCCATTGGAATTATTGTTGAAAATTCATTTAATCCCAGAAGTTAAGTGGCATAATGCAATAATAGATGAAAGTTTACCCATTCAGGACACGGCATTGTGTAATATGTATTTGTTGTATCGATTTAGTGCGTCGATCTGACGAGAAATATACTTTTCTCAACACCTATTTTCGCTCAACGTTGGATACAAAAGCACCAGTTTAATCTAGTACACGCAGTCTATCCAGTGGCCATTGCGGGATATCAATTTCTTCACTTCTAGGACGAAAAATGATAAAAGCTCATTTTGGATATGTCATTAATAACATCTGGTCATCCGCCAAACCGTATCCGAAACACCAAACCCAAAACAGAACCCAAAACAAAACAAAATCGTTTACTACCGCGCCATCACCAGCTAAGCGGACCCTCCCCACTCTGGTCCTCAAGAAGCCTAATAACCGGCTCAACAACCGTCCGCGTACTCCTCAACTGTGACCCCTGTCTTGTCCGCGTATAGAAGACAGGGCAGTCTTTACTATCACATCTCACCTCCTCCCCCCACGACGCGCCCATGCACGAGCGGCAGATCTTCTGCAAATAAACATCCCTCCTCTCCTCCTTCATCAGCCTATTCCGCATGTGGAGGAGCGAAACATGGCTATCGCGCAGACAACCGTTGCAAATCTGTTCCTCGCCCTCGTCCAATTTCTCCCGACAGACAACGCACGACGAGGATTTCATATATGATTCCAGCGTCTTTTTTGCAGAGAATACCCCCTCCCTGCTTGCGGAGGCATTTTCTTCTGCGCTTTCTACACGTCGCACACGCTGGTACTTGGGCATCTCGTCGTACCATTGCCGGACATTCGCGCCAACGAGATTGAAAATCCGTTCAAGTGGCGGAATTAAGTTTTTGGAAATGTAGTATTCTGCATCTAACTCTAGCTGCGAATCGTGAAGGAGGACTTCCGGAGGTACACATCGGTCAATAAGCCTCGCCCCGGGGGCGCCAGATATCACGACGTACGGGACACGCTCCCCATACTGTGCTTCTGTACGCGGATCTTCCAGCATCCTTTTGGAACTGATGAGAGCTCCAGGAGGAGGCATCCCTTTATCGCTATACGTCCCCAATCTAACTTCCTTGGCAAAGCAGAAGTCCTGAATTGACACCTTACCCTTCATGATCTTGGTACATTGTTTCTGAAAATAGCTCTTCACTCGACTCAGATCGGCTGTTTCGAACAGAATCCTCAGCACCTTCTCCTCGATTTTCTGCTCCGCAGGTGTCCCATCGCGACGGACAGTTTCAATCCCCTTGGCGTCAAATTCGGGTTCCTTCTGCGATCGATTCTCGTATTTATACCCTACGTACCGTTTCTTTGCCAAGAGCACGCATGGGTGGTAAACTTTCTCGAATTTAAGTTTGATCGGACGAGGATTGGAGTTAGTGATGGTCTTTGCGATTTCTTCGCCAATATCAAATGCCTCATCTTTCGTGCGCCCCTTAAGACAAACAAAGACACTATCCGTATCTCCATACACCACCTCTGCATTCCAACGTTCAACAGAATGTATCATAGCGATAGCTTTTTCTAGCGTCTCCCGGGCTGTCTGGACAATACTGTCTGCAATTTCCGCGCATGGCATTCGTCCAGAGAACGACGCAGATGTGTATCCATAGGTGACGTTGGCGATGAGTTTCAATGCCAGTTGTCGATTGTTTAGCAAGCGCTGCAAGTGCTTATCAGCTTTCCAAGCTTTCATACCACCCTTTACCATGACTCTGGTTTCTAGAATTTCGATCAACATTTTAGCCAATAATGACTTGCGGATATCCTGCTTAACATATATCATGCCATTGGGGGAGATGTTAATTTGATCCTTGAATAGTTCAAGGAGGCCCGCAGGCCTCCTGAAATCAATAAACCCTAGTTTATTCTGGCCCCGCCACTCGACCACTCTACCTAGGCAGGTGGAATAGCAGTAATTGTAGGCGATCATGATACTTGGATAGAGTGATTGAAAGTCAAGCACTAGAACTGGGCTGGTGTAAAAGTCACTTTGAGGCTCCATGACCAGGGGCAGGCATTCGAGTGCATTCTGTTGACCAACTTGTTTCCTGCCTGGGGAGATGAGGATGAGATTCTCAGGTTTAGCGATTCGGAACATAAGTGATTCGACTTTAAATTGAGATCCTCTCGAGAAAACTGAAAAGAAATCGACACCCAAGATGCGAGCCTGCTCACTAGTCCTGGAAATCAACTCGTTCGAGTCGATTATTTTCAAATTCAGCTGAACCCGACTGGCAAAATAGTTAATAACCTTTGCTATATCCCGAGGCCTCTGGCTCTGGAACCACTTAGTCAAGTCTTGGTAGTGATAATGCGGAATGCGTTGGTGAAGGAGATGGAAAGCAACATTCTCCATGGTGTATTGCAGCAGGTTTAACTCCCCACGCATGGCTCTCCACAAGTTGATCATATGCCGGCCAGTAACACGAATGGAAGACGTGTGATTGAAACCCCAGCGATCATTCTCCTTGCCAATTCGTCCATGGGAGTCGGTTTTCACCCTAGATAGTTCATCACACAGATCATAATCATACTTGTACCTAGCCCTTTCGATAAGGTAACCCCAAGAACTATTGTGCACTTCATAGCCTGTCAAAATATCCGGATCACATCGTCTTACCACGTCAACAAGCTTGGTTAAAAGATCAAGTTCACTGGTCTCTTCGTCAAACTCAGCGACCATGGTGGGTGATATTTTGGCAGCGAGACTCTCATTTTCCGCTAGTGCTATAACCCCAACAGCCAGGCCGCTGGTCTCATCATCCTCGTCGTCAGCGTCATTATCACCATCCTGCACACACCAGAAAATACAGGAGATTTCATCTTCTTCGGGATTCGGAACAAGAGTACCACGAGAATTTACATGGATCTCGAGGCTCATGACACTCATATATTGAGCCCCTTGTCGTACTTTTCTCGCCGGCTTTTTCTGGAAATACTTGAACCCATGGCGATCTTTTTGAGTGGGCCCCTCTACCTGGGAAAGAGACGAGTTTGCAGGCTTTTTTGCGGCAGCACTGTTCTTTTGAGCCTCCTTCCGTTTACGTGTTTCCTCTTCAAGCCATTCAACAACTTCACCAAGGCTTGGAGCAGCTGGTGCGAACTCCCAAGTTCGTAGTGAACAGGATTTACGAAGCCTGTTGTTATCTCTTTCGAGTGCATCTCTATCGACCATAATTGGAGGCCTTTCTCCGAACATTGCAGGAGACTCCCCAGTCGGATCGAATGGAGGTAAGTAAGGCACCGTGGTGCTCTCTAGCTTGAACTCTCTTCCAGCATACTCCCGGGGGCGATCAGGGACATCTTCCTCGTTGCTATAATGAGGTCCCTGGTAGATAATAGATGGCCGGCCATCGTCGTTCATAGTCGCTAGAACTTCTGAAGGAGAAGGGCATTGAGGAACGAAACTATAAAGTTTACCTTCTGGCGGTATATTGAACGATTGGTATAGACATCGCTGCACCTTCAAAACGGGGGATGGAGGCATCCCTGGTTGTTTTAACTTGCAAGAATCGTCACTTGTGCGGCGTGTATTTTCCGATTTGAATGTTTGGGCCGGTTGACTCGAACCTTGTTTTGGAATCTGTGAGTCTAATTTGTGCGATACATCACCCTGTTGGCTCAATCTTGCTGTAGTTGCAGGATTGTGAGGATCCTTGACAACATGGAAGGAGATTCGTTGATTTTTGGAATTCTTTCCGGCAGACTTTTGGGAAGATTTCGGCTGAGTTACAGGGGCAGGAGTAACTGTCGTGAGCTCTGCCTCTGTTGATTCAGCTATGGGGAGAGCTCTCAGCAAGGACCTGCCCGTTCCGTTGTGACCAACCACATCGTGTATTACCGGTATGTTGTTATCGTAGCTGAGTTTAAGCCGTTTATTCCTAGCATCTGCGTGAAGTCCAGATGAAAACGGGCGTTTTGATGTTTTAGCAGGGGGCTTTATATTGCTAATAAACTCCTCTTCGATCTCAAATGCATCCTCTTGGCTATTAATCGAGCCAGTCAACGGCCGAACCCCAACGCTTTCCAGCTTCGACAGGGTTGTTTCTTCTTCAACAGCATTAATTATCGCACCTGAGCCACTTTCGTTGTTAAGGTCTAGCGGATCGGCAGGATCCTCTCTAGGTTTGGGCTCCACTTCGTCACTTGCAATCTCAGCTTCTTGCTCATGTAAAAAAGACTCGTTCGCGTCATCATCCGAATCGTAGAAGATGTTTTCCAGATTAGGAAGAGTAATGAGGCTCTCGTCGACTTCGACATGCGCTTGGGACTCGTCTGCTTCGACATCGTCTAACCCTAAATCCTCAGATTGCGCCGCTTTCAAGTTCTCAGGAAACAGGTCTTCAACACTACTCAAAGCAGATATAACCGCAGCTTCAAAGGGTGTCGTAGGCACGAAATCCGTAAAGGCAGGCTTTCGCCCAAGATGTTCCGCATTTGCAATGGCTTCCACCTTTCCTTTATATTCCTCCTCATGAACCCAACCACCACGCCCATTATTCCTAGGATCTGCAGACATCGAAACTAGCTCATCAGGACGGAAAGGGCTGCTCTCCACATCATTACGCTTATCCCTCCTCCTTCGGGCTTCTTCTTCCCACAACCCAGCCAAACTAGGAACGAGTTTCTTGTCCGGCAGCACCGGTTGAAGCATCTCTACAAAGTCGTGATGTATTGGCCGCTCCTTGACCTCAAGGCGATTTACAATATCCTGAACATGGATGTCAACTTCTAAATCACAATGACTCTGTCGTGGTAATGTCGAAATATCGGAGACCGATCCCGGTGGAATTGACCGATCATGCCAACGATGAGTGAGGTTTTCAGAGTAAATTGGTATCGGCGCACGGAACATAACCTTGCTGCTCTTAAGGTATGCGCAACCGTATAAATTGTAGTCGCACATCCATTGCGCCAAATACTGCAGATGGCTCTCATAAGGTTGAAGGACGCGTTTCATTACAGCACCTTGTCTCAGCAGGTCTGCAAGGCGATTCATATGCATGGGGTTGAACAGGTATATCTTGAGGAAGAACCTGTATCCAACATGATACCCATAGAACGGAACACCCTTGACGAGGGTGATGTGGGCGACATAGGAGATTTTCCTTTCATAGGCATTTCGGCGATAGCTAACTGCCAGTGCATGATCGACGGACATGTGAAGGGTGCGAATGGCAGTGTTGACTACGAATATTAGGTATAGATTCAAAAATGAATAGGGAAGTTGTTTGTATTTTTGCTTATTTGATATTCTCTCTCTTTTTCCCTCGTTGTCATTTTCTAACCTTCTTTCGGATTCAAGCTACCCTGATATTCGATATACAGGTATGGGAATGCGCCATGGATGTGAGCGCACACCTTTTGTCCCGTTTCCGTCGCCCCGAAAACTCGGATGACGGGGACCTTTGGACGTGCATCTTTCGGAGCGGTACCATCACTGAGAGGAAGCTCAGGGTCCAAAGCTGTAGGTATCGACTGGTAGTGATCAATGCAGTTCAGCAGCACTTGAAACTTTTCCATCTGCTACCGGGGCGCGGACGATGTAGGGATAAATATTGCATTGGGTTTGATGAAATGTTCATAGGCAATAAAATGATACGAATAAGCACTTGTCCAATAAAAGGGGCATAATCCAACAGAAAGCCTGGGTTTCTACTATCGCTGGTCTCTTGCTTTGTGAGTTTCGGAGGTTGACGAGGTTGACGAGGTTTATGCGCAAGACGCGAGAAGAGATGGTGGTCATTAGGTCATCAAGATACGCTGGGTGGCGCCAAACCACGTGACATGGACAGCGACTAGGCTAATTGCTGGGGGATTGATTCCTTTACATCGACCATCCATCTTCAAATCAATTTCAAGAGGCACTCACTCTAAATTCTAACTACTGGAGAAGCCATCAGTCAGATCTTTCGGTTACCAGTGGGGTCCTCTGTACTGAGACGACATCGTTACTGCCCATCGAATCACCATGTCTCGAAGGCCGATGAATGTGGCGGCAAAAGAGCGCAACGAGTACATTCCCAGCTTCATCTCCAAGAAGCCTTTCTACGTCGATGACAAGTCCTCGGCAACCGACTATCTCGAACATCAACGTCTCCAGAAATCCAAAACAGACCAACAAAAATGGTACGACAGGGGGAAGCGCGTAGGACCGGTTGCAAGCAAATATCGCAAGGGCGCATGCGAAAATTGCGGCTCCATGTCCCACAAGATGAAAGACTGTCTGAGCCGCCCGAGAAAGTTAGGAGCTAAATGGACTGGGAAAGATATACAGCCGGACGAGGAGATTCAAAACGTGGATCTGGACTGGGATGCGAAGCGGGATAGATGGAACGGCTACGACGCATCGGAATATCGCAATGTGGTGGAGGAATATGAAGAGCTGGAAGCGTTGAAGAGGCAGGCAAAAGAACGCGCAAGAAAGGAGTCACTACTGGCTGACGAGACTGATGATGACGATGACGATGAGGAGGAGGAGGAGGAGGAGGAGGAGAAGGAGAAGGAGAAGGTGGCTAGTGGTGCGGAGGAGGCTAGATATGCGGAGGAGTCCGACATGGGTCGGCAACAGAGTACTGCTACACGCAACCTGCGGATACGAGAGGATACTGCCAAATATTTGCTGAACTTGGACCTTGACTCGGCCAGATACGACCCGAAGACTCGTCGGATGGTGGATATGGGTGCGCAATCTGATCAAGCTGCCGCCCTTGTTGCAGAGGAGAACTTTATCCGTGTTTCGGGTGACGCAGCTGAATTTGAGCGGGCACAGCGGTATGCGTGGGAATCCCAGGAGCGCGGCGATAAGGACCGTCAACATATTCAGGCAAATCCTACATCGGGTGAATACATTCGAAAGAAGAGGGAGGAGGAAGCGGAGAAGAAGCGCAGGGCGCAACGACAGGCGCTGTTGGAGAAGTACGGTGGCGAGAAGTATCTGCAACCGGCACCTTTGCGCGACGCTGCAGTCATCGAGAACGAACGATTCGTCGAATATGACGAAACAGGAGCAATTAAGGGAGCGCCTAAAAAGGTAGCGAAGTCGAGGTATGCCGAGGACGTATATATTTATAACCACACTTCGGTATGGGGCAGCTGGTGGTCGAATTTCGTATGGGGATATGCATGTTGTCATTCTACGGTGAAAAACAGCTACTGTACGGGAGAGGAAGGGAAAACTGCGTTTGAGGAAGCTCAAAACCTGTTGCTTAACGACATGGAAAGGGCCGGAGACGCGGAGGAAGAGGAAGAAGAAACACGAGAACAGACAGAGGCTACGAAGGCAGAATCCCAGTTGGCTAGGCGGGCTAAATCCGGGGATACAGGCCTGGGGAAGCGGACTCTGCAGGAGATGCAGCAGGGGGTCACTGAGGAGGAGCTGGAGGCATACAAGAAATCGAGGAGTGCAGCTGCAGACCCGATGGCAGCGTTTCTTGGGAAGGATAAGTTAGTTCGATGAGATAGACTTCAAAAAATATTCACCTGTTTCACGATTTTTTATTTATTTATTTATTTATTTATTTATTATTTATTTTAACCTTCTTTCATGCTTTTGAGCGTGCAAACGGAGTGCTATAACTATATAACTATTTACTGTCTTTTCTATTAAGAGTAAAAACACAATGGATGAATGCGAGCCAAAAATGTATGGAGAACACCCGCGCCTGTTTGGGCCCTCCTCTTTTTTTTTTTTTTTTTTTTTTTTTTTTTTTTTTTTTTTTATTATTATTATTATTATTATTATTATTATTATTATTTTTATTTTTTTTTTTTCGTCAGGCGGGCTTTGGGCGTTGTTTGCACGGCTTCCAATCGGCGGGAAATTTCAACAAGCCGTTGGACACGACTGAACCAACGACGAAAACAAAGGAGTGAAAATCGGAGCATAAACCGGGATGCAATAGCCGGGGCTCAAGGAGCGAGAGTTGATTCAACAATTCTCCGGGAATTCCTAGACGCCTCTCTTACCCCGTCCCTAAAACATACAATTCGTCGTAATCCGTAGCTGTTGTTGGTTGCTCTGTTCGGCGTGTTGTGACCCTGCAGCAAAGTTCCTCCCCCTAATGCCGGGTTTCCCCAACGACCGCCTGCACGAAGCTCCTGGGGCCGGTCAGCTCGGTTTAGTCAGTCACACCTCAACCACCTCGCGACAATCTTCACTTCACCTCACCTCACTTCACCTCACTTCACCTCATCGCTCATCGCTCCTCCACATTCCACCGCCGCCCTCGACACCCCATCCCTCCCCAGCTAGCCCCCGGGTGAGCAGTTGATCTGTTCTCTCGTCCTCCCGTCGAGTCCTCGTTCGTATTTGTTTGTTTGTTGTTTGGTTGGTTGTTGGTTGTTGTTGGTTGTTTTTTTTTTTCTTTTTCCTCCCCTTCTTGAGCCAAAGAATCACATCAATGTAGTCCCGTGTTCAGCAATGGATCGATAGCGAATCCCAGAAAGTCGCGGCTCAAGTGTTGTTCGTCCATTCGCACTCGCATTGCTGGATGCATTGCTCCTCCAGCGATCATCCCGTATTTCCATCGTCCCCACGTAATCGTTGAGAGGGCTACCTGTCACGCGGTGAAGAAAAGGATTTGGTGTCTGGTGCACTGCAGCCTGGGGGAGACAGAGGGCAAACTCTGGTGGCAGGTATTGGCTGGCTTTTGGAGAACGAACAGCAGTCCTCGACCGACCCCTTGGGTTCTCTCCCACTCCCAAGAACGAAAAAAAGAAAGAAATAGATAGAGATAAATGAAAAATGCCGTTGCAGAAAGCTACACCGCCGCCACGAGGTCCGCAGCCCACATCCTCCAGCCCTTCTCACAACGATGATTCTGGTTCTGGAGGTAGGGATTTGCCCGTTCAGCCAATGTCCTGCTCTTCAGCCAATATACAGGCCGCGAAGACTAACAGGCGGGTGCAAACAGCGGAGGCTTCGTCGCGAAGGGTGCAGAAAAACCCGTCTTCGGGGAGCATGACGGACAGCTCCAATTCCAGCTCCTTACTTTTCAGAAACAACGTGGAGCGTACTGGGAATGGTGTTTCGATTCGCAGACGACAGTCGATACGAGATCGGGATCAGAACCCGAATTTTGGCTCCCGACAGGGAGATCCTGTAAAACGGTATTGTTCTAATGGCAATTGGTTGTTCTTTACTGCGTTTATCTACCTGCTAACTGTGTACAACTTTCTGTGATGATTTCTAGATCCTTTCCCAATTATTCTAACCCACAAACACATTCAGCAAATCCTTCCATACAGTCCTCCTCGTCTCATGGGCATGGGCATGGGCATGGGCGCACGGGAAACAACAGCTCTCGTTTAAGTTTCAACTTCGTTACGCCCAGCGATCTGGCCCAGGACGAGAGTCGCACTCCTCCAGATAGCAGTGAATTTCTCGCCCCCATCAATTTCGACGATTTCCACAATAGCATCATGTCGAAAGAACCAAATTTGAGCCATTTCCCTCTTCCTTCGGCAATCAGCTACGATTCAAAACCTCTGGCTCCCCGATCAACACCACGATGGTCAAACCAGCAGCCACCGCAAAACGTGAATCACGTTCGGACAGCGCCGTTCTCCCGGCGAGCAAGCAATGCATCGAGGAGTACAGTGGGGAGTGTATCTACAGTAAATGGAAATGAAAAACCTCAGGCACCCAGTGCCGCTCGCGCACGTCGATTGAGCCATGCCCTTCCGCCTTCCTCTGGCGTCATGGCAACAACGACGACGACGGCGCGACCGCCTAGAAAATCCATTGGACCGGGGAGTTTAGTTACAGACGCCGGGGACCCCGGTGTCCCACGACGAAGACCAAGTTTGTCGACAAGGAAAAATACGGTGGACGCTAATCGTTCGGCTCAGCATCCTTTTTCTTTGCAGATGGCAACCCAACAAAGCATGGATGCAGGTCCTTCTGAATCTTCAATGTTTTTAAATACACCTAGAAACCAGAAAGCAAAATCACTGCAACCACCTCTGCGGGTGCCCAGAGAGAGTTTAATTATCCCATCCACTAGCTCAGAACCTTCGAGGTCTCTGTCAAATAGTGGTGTGCGAAGCCCAGGCAAGGCAGCGCAGAACCGGACAACTACTCCTTCATCGTCGTCGAAGCGGGTGTCGACTATGCCCCCTCATGCTCACGGTTTAGGAGCACGAACAATTAGCCCCACCGATGCCAGGCGTATGAAACGAATGTCATTGATGCCCCAACCTCCGCCAATGCCACATACACCTCCGACACAGCAAGATGCCACGCTCCCTCCGACCCGCTCTTCAGCCCAGTCTCCTTCCATGATACCCAGGAAAAGCGTTACTCCTTCCTCCACCAGGACCACGCCAGACCCGCATCGCAAATCCTACAGTTCAGGGATATCTTTGTCTTCCAATACCAGTAATAATTCTGCTCGAAATTCTAACGGGTCTTTGCAGCCAAGACTGTCCCAGAATGTTTCAACATCTAGACTACCAACTCCCAAACCACGTACTGAAAACTCATCGAATAATGAAGAGGAAGAAGTTCCCCCAGTTCCAGCCATTCCCAAGGCGTACGAATCGCCCAAGACTGAAGGAGAGCTCCAGCTTTCCGTCACTCGAAAATCCAGTCTACCCCTAGACGCTGGACGATCAAGAGTCAGCTCAAGATTAGACTCCGATTCCGTCGATACTCCTAGTAAAAGGCCTATATTAGATGATTTCCAAGTTACCAGAGCAATTATCCACCGGGCGGATTCCAAACCTAGACCTGCCTCAAATGTTGGCAGAAAAAACCTTCAACCACTGAAGCTCCCGCCCCTTAATCTACTGCCTCTAAGCATTCCTATGACGAACAAAATTAAATCTTTGAGAGATAAAGGCGCACAAGATTCAAACATGCGTGTCTTTAGCACACCCCCACCCCTCCTGCCCTTGACCAAAACCCCAACCACTCCAATGACAGCTTCAAAGGTCAGCTTCTTTTCTCATGGTATACTCGATCAAGAGCCACTGCCATCACCGCAACCGAGGAGCACTAGTTCGCATTATTCACTCCGCAACGATCCAGTCCGATTCCGGGCTCAAAATAGTTCCAGTGCCCTCGGCCCATTGGACGTTGCCTCCGACAGCAGGAGTGTTTCTCCTTATGTTTTGACGTCCATACCAGGAACGAAGCCAGAGTTTACTCATACACGACCCGAGTATTCCAGGACCAATTCTAATAGGCTGACTGGACCCCGGCCTCAAACTCAGTTTGCTACTATTTCTCCGCGTGTTGAGCCGTCGAACTTTGTTCTGCAACCGAGTACAGATAACGGATCTGAGAGTAGCCTCCCGTCTTCCACCCGACGGGACGCCAGAGGTGATCACTATAGAGCGAAATCTCACCATATTATCACGGAACCAATCAATGATCCCTCCAAGCATGGCAGCATGCCTCCTCCGAAACTTCCGGCGTCAGCTACTTGGAATAACCTGTCAAGTACTAGACAAAGCCCTAATTCCAAACCTGCATATATACAGACCAGACGTAAAGCGTCCACGTCAAGTGTCACAAATGGTATTACTCTGCGGAACCAAAGCGTCAGCAGCGAACAGAGTCTGGCTCTTAACCCCAGTTCCTCCATTGATGCCGGCGAAACTGAGAGTCAGCCCAGTCGGTCATCGTCTTTATTATCTCCTGTGCATAAACTCCTCTCAAACTCCAAATCCCCTCCTTGCAAGCTTCACCCTCAGGATCAGAATCTTGATCGGGACTATATATCAGCCGAAGAAGAGATGCGGAAACTAGGTAGTAAACGGAAAGATTTCGAAAGTGCCGTAAGGGAGCTAGACGAGTTGCGAAGACGGGCAAACCCTAAGGAGCGAGTTGGACCCGCACAGGCTCTAAAGATGGCTACTTTGAACATATTCGAGAAAGGCGAAATTATTGACTTCAAGGATATCTATTTCTGCGGCACGCACAAGGCGAAGAAACATGTTGGTGATCTTAATGCGCAAAGTGCCAATTTTGGTTACGACGATGAGCGTGGCGATTACAATATCGTCCTTGGAGACCATCTTGCGTACCGTTATGAAATTGTCGATATCTTGGGCAAGGGGAGTTTTGGTCAAGTGGTACGATGCGTTGACCATAAAACAGGGGCCCTCGTTGCGGTGAAAATCATCAGGAATAAAAAGCGATTCCATCAGCAGGCGTTGGTTGAAGTGAATATCCTACAAAAGCTTAAGGAATGGGTAAGTTCTTCCTTTCCCTGACACAAACTTCCCAATAGTTCTTATATATATTCTAACAACATCTGCAGGATCCCAACCGACGCCACAGCGTTGTGAACTTTACTCAAAGCTTTTACTTCCGTGGGCACCTTTGTATATCGACAGAACTTCTAGGCATGAATCTGTATGAGTTTATCAAAGCTCATGATTTCAGAGGCTTTTCGCTTAAACTCATCCGCCGGTTTACGAAGCAGCTGCTCAGCACTTTGGTTCTTTTGCACAAGCACAAGGTCATTCACTGTGACCTGAAACCAGAGAATGTGCTTCTTGCTCACCCTATGCATTCGGAAATCAAAGTGATTGACTTTGGCTCGAGTTGTTTCGAAAATGAGAAAGTGTACACTTACATACAGAGTCGCTTTTATCGCTCCCCTGAAGTTATTTTGGGCATGTCGTACGGAATGCCCATTGACATGTGGAGCGTGGGCTGTATCCTAGCTGAATTATTCACTGGCTACCCCATTTTCCCTGGTGAAAACGAACAAGAGCAGTTGGCATGTATCATGGAGGTGTTCGGACCCCCCGAAAAACATCTTATCGAAAAGAGCACACGGAGAAAGCTTTTCTTCGACTCACTCGGCAAGCCTCGTCTGACTGTCTCATCCAAGGGTAGAAGAAGAAAGCCAAGCTCCAAGGAACTCCGCCAAGTCCTAAAATGCGACGATGAAGCTTTCCTCGACTTTATAGCTCGCTGTTTGCGATGGGATCCAAACAGACGCCTCACTCCCAACGACGCCTTAAACCACGAGTTCATCACCGGCATCAAATCCAACCCGCGATCACGAGTCCATCTCGTCTCGGTCAACTCGCCAGCAAAACGCATGGCTTCAGGACCGGCCTCATCAACCATCCGACCGCTTCCCGATCCCCCATCCTTCGCCACCAAGAGTGGAGGGCGAGTTCGAGATTCGTCAAGCCAGTCTCCCATTAAGAATACAGGTCCTAAACGGAGTTCAACTATCAGCACTGCCTCCACGGTAAACAGTATAAGCAAGCGAACGTCGAATGGAAATCCAATATCCGGCTCCGCTCTGCCACGGGTCTCGAGAGCTGCTAGTGGGAAAGCGGATCTGGCAACAGCGGCAGCGGCAGCCAGCCTGGTAAGCTGAAGCCCATCCATCCACTCTCTGGCGTCTCGTCCTGGATTCGTTCACAACCCACTCCCACAACATGTGAATACTGACCGGGTGAGATGGTGCAGAAAACAAGATAGTTGATGCAGCTTACATATTTTATGGGTATCATGCATGGACTCACCACTAGAAGTCCGCTCTCTGTTCACATTTTCCCCAAGATAACACTTTGATGAAAGCATTTTCTTTATTGCGGTTCGAATTGGCCCCAGTCACTGCCTGTTTCATATTTTTAACCCGCAATATCTTTTTTGCCAGTTCATACCCAACCATCTACATCTACACTTTCAGCTTTTACCTTCCTTGTATTCATTTTGACTAAAGCTCACCCTGCAGTGTGTGAGTGTCTTTTGATATGCCCCCTGTTTGTATTTAATGTCGGGGTCTCCCATTTTCATTTCTTTTGTTGTGCTTTAACCCCTCCATTTCTTATTATGATGTACAGCAAATAAACATGTTTTCCCTTTTCCCTATATTTTCTTCTGCTGGAATGGAACGTTTCGATTTTCATTTTGGGTGATTTTTGTTTGCTGTCATTTCCTAGGTCGTTCTCACTCATCATCGGACTTCTGGTTCCCTTTTTCCATGTCAATACCATGTACCTTTCTTGGAAAGATTACCGGTTCGATTGTTGTACTTGCGGTGGTCCTCGTACAGTCCTTGTTGCTTATTCACTCTTTAATTTTTCACCTAGCTTATATAGACTAGGCTTCCTTTCTTCGTTCTTAGCTGTACTTGCTTGGCAAATGTTCCACTCCGACCCTCCTAATTTTTTTTTTTTTTCTTTTTCTTTTTCTTTTACTTTTTTATTTTGTTTGTGAAATCTCTTAGAAAATATCGCATACACCTCTTGGCACAGCTGAGTTTTCTTTAGAGAGAGATGGAGAGGGAGGGAGGGAGAGGCTTGTTCTACAAAGGTGCTATCCTCCGTTCTTCTCGCTTGGCTTTTACTGTCTTTGCACCTTTTCAATTTTATCATTTCCCTTCCCTTTCTCCATATGTTTATGTCCTTTTTTCCCCACTCCTGTGACATTTGATTGTACGTATATACATACATTGATGCAGGTGTCTTGAGGTCCTGGGCTTGATTTTAATGGTGTTGGCTTCTTCCTGAGTAGCTTGTTATTCGGCAGGATTTTTCCCCTTCCCCCCTCTTCTGTTTTATGTTTCAGTCAGCTTTTCTGAGCTGATAGTTATTTGCATGAAATGCCTACTCATCTAAAAAATTACATTACATGATCTAAATGTGAAATGCACCCTGCTAGTTATTTTATCAACTTTTGCATATAACTTGATATTATCCACTCTTTGGACCAGTCCGTTTTAAGTTTAGCGCTGTGGAGATGTGGAAATCTGGCCGAATGGACACTTGGCTTAGTCATCGCCCATATCAAAAGAGATCACCGTAGACAATTTCGCCGCCCGGAACAAATGGCTTGAAGCAATACCCGACAATGTGCATGCTCCCTCCAGTCCCTTTTCTTATATGATATCTGGTTGCGAGCTTAAGTGGTGAAGGGGAGGAGATTCTTGACCTCCCATTCCGCATTGGTTATTTGAGATTTCCTTCATGCCTCTATTCCGTCATTGAGAGTCGTCTCACGCGCTTCATTACGAGCTATAATAGATCTAAAATCTCGTATCCGCCGCCCCAATGAACGGGTTTGCGAAGCATGGCTTGGATGAAGATGCGTTTGGAGAGAAGTTTGGCATCGGATCGGGACTGAGGACTTTTGATGCATTTCGTAAGTTTTCTTAATGGTGCATTGAATTCTTAAGCGTCCATCTATATCACCTCCTGGAGCGAATCATAGAAAAAAATGTCTCAAGCTAACAACTGCTTCCTCTGCAAACAAATCACCAGCAAAAACAAAGCCCACATACACCTCCTCAACTCGACGCGGCGGCCAGTGGACCGTCGTGGTGTTCGTCCTCTGCGCCCTCCTCTCCATCAGCGAGCTCCGTACCTGGTACAAGGGCGTGGAGAACCACCACTTTAGCGTCGAGAAGGGCATCTCGCGCGAGCTTCAGCTAAACCTCGACATCGTAGTCGCAATGACATGCGACGCACTTCGTATAAACGTGCAAGATGCAGCGGGGGATCGAATTCTCGCATCAGACATGCTGAACAAGGAACCCACAAGCTGGGCTGCGTGGAATCGGGAGCTGAACGTTGCCTTGAGCGGGGGTGGTCGCGAGTACCAGACCCTTACTGAAGAGCATGCGGGGCGGCTGATGGAGCAGGAGGAGGATATGCATGTGGGGCATGCGCTGGGGGAGGCGCGGAGGAGCCACAAGCGGAAGTTCCCCAAAGGTCCGAAGTTGAAGAGAGGTGAGATGCCGGATTCGTGTCGCATATATGGGAGCTTGGAGGGGAATAAGGTACAGGGTGACTTTCACATTACTGCGAGGGGCCACGGGTATTTCGAGTATGGGGAGCATTTGGATCATCATGGTATGTTTTCTATGCCTTTTTCTCTCTCAACACATCATCCCCTATCCCTGCCCCGTAAAGACGAATATCAATCCTAACAAGCCAACCCAAATAAAAAAATAAAAAATAAAAAATAAAAAAGCCTTCAACTTCTCGCACATGATTACAGAACTATCATTTGGCCCACATTACTCCACTCTCCTCAACCCGCTTGACAAAACAATGTCCACAACCCCCTTCAATTTCTACAAGTACCAGTACTACATGTCCATCGTACCAACCATCTACACCCGCACCGGCACCATCGACCCATACAGCCAAGTCCTCCCAGACCCATCAACCATCTCCCCGTCCCAGCGCAAAAACACCATCTTCACCAACCAGTATGCTGTAACCTCTCGATCCCACGAGCTTCCCGACGTCCAGTTCTACGTCCCTGGCATCTTCTTCAAGTACAGCATCGAGCCGATTTTGCTGATCATCAGTGAGGAGAGGGGCAGCTTGCTGGCGCTGCTGGTGCGGCTGGTGAATGTTATGGCGGGCGTGGTGGTGGCGGGAGGGTGGTTGTTTCATCTAAGTACGTGGGCGACGGAGTTCATCAGTAGGAGACAGCGGAAGCCTGAGGGTATGCTGAATGGGAGGGTTGGGGAGGAGGAGGATGAGTGAGGGACATTCATTTCTTTTTCCTCTCTCTCTATTTTTCTCTTTTTCTTTCTTTCTTTTCTTTCCTTTTCTTTCCTTTTTTTTTTTTTTTTTTTTTTTTTTTTTGGTTCTGGATAGATGTTATACATTTCCCCTATTTTCCTTTAGGCATCTCTTCGCTCTCTGTACGGATTTTATCTATGTTTTATTGCTCGTCAAAGTTTTTCTGGGTTCTCGCGATCTTTCCAATCTAGCGTTCTATTATTCCCCAAGCTGCTTTTATTTAGGGGCTTTCTGTCTCGTTCCTCACACTTGAATGACACGTCCTCTTTCGGTAGATGGATTTGCACTGTATGCTAATCACTTCGCACTGTTTCGATAGTTCAATTCATTTTTGTGGAGTAGACCACATTAGTTCACAATTGAGGGAGGATGGGGTGGGAGTTTAAAACTGAAACTTAGGTTTTCACATACAAATTCATTTGCTTGAGTGCGTGTCTACAGCATGTCATTGTATATATTACATGCTAGAAAAGAAGAAAATCGCCTGGATGGGTATGTAGAACACGGGAGATAAGGACTACCAACAGGTAAAGATAACTAATAGAATGATGCCATCAGAAAGCCTCAGCCAGCCAACAAATAACATATCTCGCCATTCCAACCAACATCAACACATCTGACAACCCAAAAGACCTCATGTCTTATAAAAGAACCAATCCAAACTCTTCATCCAGACAGCCAGCAACAACATTCGAACCTCAAACCTCAAAAATCTCACCAAGTCCCACACCAGCCCCCTGAGCTCCATACCTCGACTCAACCAAATCCAACCTCCACCCCTTCCAATTCTTCAGCGCCTCATGAATCTCCTTCGTCCGCTCGTCCCGCATCCTCTTTTCCTCCGCTGCCCACGCCTCAGCGTCCGCATGGGACCCAACCTCCCCGTCCTTTTCAGAAAAAAGATTCTGCACGTGACTGATATTCGACACAGCTCGGCTACGATGACGGTCATGGCCTGCAGTTGGACTGCCAGACTCCCCTCTAAAAGCAGCCAGCCCACTGGAGAGTACAGTAGTAAACGAAGAATGTTTCTGCTGTTGCTGCTGCTGCTGGTGTCTACCAGAAGCCATGCTCTTACGACGGGAATGATCCGACCCGGTGCCGGGAAGCCCGCCAACGAGATCCACATCATCAAACGCACCAGCGGACGAGGAACGATCGGCGAGGTCGTCCTCCAGGTCGCCTCCGTCGCGATGAGAGGCACCCGCAGACAGTTCACTCTTCCTCTCCTGCCAAATTCCACGACGCAGGTCGAAATTCTCCCCCTCAAGCTCACGAACCCGTCTCTCAAGCCGCTGCCTTGCTTCGTCTTCCAGCTCATCAAGACCTTCCTCGTCTCCAACATTACTCACCTCCTGTTTCCGCATGTGCTCCCGCTCTTCACGCAGTCGTAGATTCTCATTCTCAATCGTAATTAGCTTGCGCTTTAGCGTCGTAGCGTCTTTTTCAAATTTGTCGCGTTCACGCAGGCGGATGCTACTTCTATTCTCAGATTCCTTGTGAAGATTCCCCAGCGCTTGAAGTTTTTTCTCCAGCGTTTCAATCTTCTTATCAGCCTCAGATTTCGCGGCTTCGGCCTCCTGAAGCTGCCGTTCTAGATTCTTGATTAGGGTTTCTGACGAAGTTTTATCCACTCCTTCCTTTACAGCCTTTTCCACTGCACGAGTAAGTGAGTGTTTGGCATCTGCAAGTTCACGTTGCGTTTTCTCAAGCGTAGCTTCGCTACGTGAGAGCTTATCTTCGAGGGCAGATACCTGTTCCTGGGTAGCAGACGTAGTTGACGATTGCGAACTGAGCTGGGCACGTAAATTCGAGATTTCCAATTCCATAGCTTCAATCGTAGCAGATTTAGAATCTAATTGAGCAAGAAGAGCAGCCGGGGGCGACTCCGCATTTCCGGATCCAGATGCAGAAACACTATTCGTCCGATGCGACCTGCTATGCAACAGCGCATTCTGCCGCTGTAACGCCGTGATCTCCGCTTTCTGCAGCAAGAAAGAAAGAAAAAAAAAAATTAATCACACCAGCCATCTTAAATAACTATAAGAAGAAGCAATAGAAACTATAGTTACGCAATACTTACCAACATCTCGACCTCCCCCGCCCTCTCCTCCGCCCTCCCCAGCTTCTCCTTCACCATAACCAACTCCCCCCTAACCTCCCTCAACTCCTCCAGCCGCTCCTCCGACCTCTTCCACCTCGCACCTACCTCCTCCACCTCCCTCTCAAGCCTCTTATTCTCCTTCTCCAACTCATCCAGCCTCAGCGCCTGCTTCCTAAACACCTCAGGAATGTAGTCTCCATCAGGATTGAGAGGGGGTAACGATGGTGATTTGACACCTGCTGTGGCTGGCGGTGGTGACGTTGGTGAAAAGAATGGCGGTTGGCCTGTCTGCTGACTCAGGGAGGTGCGGCGGAAGGAGGAGGAGCGGAGTTTTGACTGCAGGGATAAGGACGGTTGACGGCCGTGTGGAGTTCGGGAGGGGAGTGGTTCTTCGGTGGTGTCTTTTGTGGGGTGTTCTGGGTTTTCGGATTGAGGTGGGAGGGTGGACGTAGAAGGTTCCTGAGAAGAGCGTTCTTCGGGCGCATGTTCACGCTTCACCTCTTCTTCTTGTTGCCCATGTTCTTGAACGGGAGCAAGTGGGGGCTGGGGAGCAGCGGCGGGGGCAGTTTCCACTTCTTCTTCTTCTTCTTCTTCTTCTTCTTCTTTAACTTTCTCAACAGGGGCCGGGGAATCAGCTGTTTCCGTCGTCGTTACAGTCGTCGCAGGCCCCCCGGTTTTGCTCTGCTCTCCAGTGCCTGCAGGTTTCTTCCCAGCCTTCTTGGCCTGTTGCTTTTGCAGTTGTGCAACCTGTAACCAAAAGAGTTAGAATTGTAGTGCTATAGAAACAATGCGAGTGCAAGAGCTGAAGATCATGGAGGAAGAATTGGGCCCCAATATATATAAATATGTATGAATGCTAGAGTATCGTAAATAAAAGACACATACGCGCTTCTTCGCAGCGGCAAGTTTTTCCGCCTTTCCCTTGTCTTCTGCCTCCGTCATTGTTTCTCTTCCTTTTCGCCCAGCTGAAGATTATTAGGGGACTGTGATATGGAATGACATTCGATATAAAAATTGCTTGTCGTTTTGACCTGTCGTTGTCTACCTTTTCTTTTGAAGTCTTTTCAACGATCTGATATCGCTTACGTCATCGCACACATCAAACTCACGTGATATTATCTTTTTGGGGCTGTTCCATCCTGCATAAGAATAGATTCCCCTGGATGACGAATTAAGGAGCTTGAACATACTTACATGATATAACTATACACTAGTGAAACTACACATGCCCTCTATTGACTGAAACTGAAAACCTATAATGCGTTGACACCGCAAGCAGAAGATCGAGTAGATGAAAAACAAAGCTCTTCAGAGCCAGGCAATTTGATCCCATTGTAGAAAACCTCACTGAATGCATAATCTGGCTGTGTTAAAAGATATAAATGGAGGGGGGCGGAAAGGAGAAAATAATAACAATAGTCCGAATAACATACAACAAATGCCTTCCTCCCTCTTTCCCTTTGCCCTGAATCTAAAGGAGGAAGCAAACCCGCCATTCCAGAATCTCTCATCAACAATATAGCAGCGTATGCAATGTATGCGTGGAGGAGAAGCGACCGAGATAGAAAAACCAAGATAACAAAAGCAAAAACACGATGGAGCCCTGGTATCATCATCATCATCAGCCAAAAGGGGAGGAAAGAAAGAAACTCAACGTGAAAAGCACGAATCCATCGAACGCCGCATCCTACGGCGTCTGGGTGGACAGGGCAGACAGCACCTCAGCTTGGGGAAACATGCAGAAAAGAAAAAATAAAAACAAAACCCAATTTCTCGCCCACGAGAAATATGCTCTGCCCCAATTCCATATATCTCAGCATTGCCAGTACATTATATCCCCAACTTAAACCTCCATGGAATCTGCAATTTCATCACTAACCGCGCACATCGAACTCTTCCTCCTAGACCTAGACTGCACCTCCTTATCGCTAAGAAGATAATTATCAAACTCATCAACAACAGGTCTAACAGGCTTTGGAGACGCCTGGGGGTTTTCTTCCACTTCATCCTCCTCCTCCTCCTCCTCCTCCTCCTCCTCCTCCTCCTCCTCCTCCTGGTACTCCTCCTCCTCCTCCTCCTCCGGACTGGCCCCGCTCACCGGATCGCCCAGCCAGTACCTTACCCGTTTCCTCGCCCCATAATCCGGCGTCAAAGATCCGTCATCCCCATTTCGCATGTCAACCAGTGACGGTGTCGTGGATCCATCCGGCAGGTGGTTGAGGATACTAATTCCGCGAAGATATAGGTAACAGACGCGTTTGCGCGTCTTATTGAAGAAGAAATAGTTCAGGCTCCAGATGGCCCCTTCATCACCGTCGTAGGGATCTTCCTCTGGTGAATAGCAGAATATCGCGCATTCATTCAGCGACATTTGATCGTCGATTATCTTCCACATTCTGGGGCCCCAGGAATGCATTGTGGAGGTGGAGGGACGTAGACCGAAGGCCGTGGTTGATGTTTGAGGGTTGACATCACGCGCCATGCGGGGGCGGAGGTTGAAGAGTGCGGTATCGATGACATTCATCACGCACTTTAGGCTTTTCTCGCATTGGAAATCGGATGGCCGGAGGAGATGGGAGAAGTCATAATCGGGATGGCTGGCGTTCAGCGTCGCGATGAGATAGGCGAAGGTACGACGGCTTGAATGTTCGCTCAGTGGACCGAAGGGACTTGAACGCGATAGGTTCAGCGATTGTGCGGCCTGGGAGGCGTTGGGCGGGGAGAGGGAGGCGGAGAGCCGGAGGAGCGATTCATATTGCGATTCCAGCGCGTTTTCGATGTTCTTGTATAATTTCTTGTCACCTCCTGCGGCCTTTGTTGTATACAGATCACAACCACCAACGACGTGGCAGTCCTCTGTGTCGAAGTTGAGGGCGCCTGCTACGTCTTCAAACTCGCTGAGTGGGAGGAACTACATGGCATAGATTTCATCAGCAACACTAACACTCCAGGCAGGGACATAGCCCCGAGGATTGCTTCTTCGGACCTTCATGACTGTAGATGATGGTTCGTTGAGATTATCAATTCACGGGCTTGATTGACAGTGGATTCTTTGCCGGTAGTTCGATGTGATAGCTCTGCGGAAGCAAGCCGAGCAGCGATCAGCGCGATCCAGGCTTGGTGCAAGGACAACTCTTAGATGATCGACTGAGCCAGACGACGAAGGTCTAGCAAAAAGTAGATGAGGGCAGGACAGGCATCGCGGCAGGTTTCCTGGAGTTGATGCTATATTGGTAGAATGGTGAGGGGGTGAGAGGATGTTCATAATAAGTGGTTGGGTTGTTGCTGGAGGGGTAATGACGCATGTTTCTTGCTGTGTTGTTCAACTGCGGGTCCGGGGTCACGTGGTCGCTGTGCAGTCGCACTTGCCGGTGGAGTGGCGCTGCTTCCTGATACAGCAATTGGCCAAATCAGTCGCAAACACGTAGCGGACTCAAGGAAGGGAGAAGGAGCGAACAAGATAAAGGATCCACACATATTGAAGGAAAGAGAAGAACAAACAACACAGCAACAAACAGCAACAAACAGCAACAACAGCAACAGCAACAGCAACAACAACAGCAACAGCAACAACAGCAACAACAAACAGCAACAACAGCAACAAACAGCAACAAACAGCAACAACAGCAACAACAACAACAGCAAAGCGCCTGGCAGCCCCTTGCAGACTCCTTGAAAGACTCCCTTGTTTCCCTAGGCACAGTGGTAAATATGAACAATAGTATTTGGCCCCCAACCCGGGATAAAGGATGAAAATGCTTGATCAACTGTTGTTGGCGGTAGCAGCTGAGATATTTGACTGGCAGAACATGTAGTAATCGGCCATAACCCTCCCGATCTCCATATGGAGCCAACCAGCTAACAGTTAACATGAACAATGAGCATCGTCCGCAACAGCAAGCTAGAATCCCAATTGTCTCAACGCAGCCAATTCAGCCTCAGACTCCTGTAAATCCACCAAAGAATGATCAGCAACTTTCGAAAACATGGGTAACACTCAAAGAAAAGGGTGTATGAGGAATATGATCGTCGTATATGATAACCATATCTTCGGGGGAATATCCTTCTCCCAAAACAATCAAAATGATGCCGGACGCCGAAAGTTCACATTCGCCAAGGACAAGATAGGCAGAGCAAAACCGGCCAGTGTAGGAGCCGCTACAAAAGGAAAAGAAAAAAAGAAAAAAAGAAAAGGGAGGGACGACAAGCGGGGGGTTTCTGCCATAGAGATACCCCGCTACCCCGCTACATAATCTTCGTAACCACATCTCGCTCGACCTGGTAGCGGGGCGGGAAGAGAGGATGATTAGCAGGAATATGGCAGTAAGGCGATGACCATAAAGGGAAATGTTCGGTGCATTGGAGGGGTGAGAGATGGGAGGTTGGGAGGTGGATGGGTGGTGGGTTGGTGGTTGTGCTTCGATCTGGGGCATAGGCAGCAGTTTATTTTCAACAGCTTACACTTTCTACTCTTCCTAATTTTCGCCCTCTATTCTCTCTCTTCCCTTACCTGTACACCTATGTAGATATATATATCCTCTCGGATCGGACTTTAATCAAAGAAACCATCCCCCTCACTCACCTCCATATCCTCCAAACTATCCTGCTGCGAAATGCACCTGAGAACATTCTTCTTGCTGCTCTCCTGCATCTCCCCGGCCAGCAGCAGCTCGTCCAGGATGAAATACGCCTTCTGGAAATTGAAGATGATGTCCAGTTCGCAGACGTTGCCGTAGTACTTATCCATCTGCTCGACGTAGCGATGGACAATCTCGAGGATGATCAGCTCGTTGTCGGAGGAGGAGCAGCCGGCGATGAAGAAGAGGGATGCATAGCGGCGGTAGACGACTTTGGTGTCTGCAGGTTATCCGTGTTAGACTCATTTCCCTATAGATACATACATCCATACATCCATAAGATAGACATAGATATAGATATAGATCCGTTGGCTTTTATCGCACCTTTATACTCGAGAAAATTGCACATGCGAGTGCGCCGCGAGAGGACGAGCTGTGTGACATCTTTGATGATTTTGGCCTTGTCTTTGGGAGACAGGGTGGAGAACCATTTTGCAAGTCTCTGGAAGGAAAAGAGTGTGGGAGTTAGATTTTTGTTTTTTTTATTGTTTTATTATCGAAGTATAATTAGATCCCGTGGTGGAAGTCGGGCCTGGATTAAGGTGGGTGTGACGAGGGGGGGACTCACCACTTTGCCCTGCCTCGACAACAGTATCAGATAGCTGCAGATGGGGTTTTTACTGGTTAGACATATTGTTCCTGGAGGATTGGCAAATAATATTCCGGCAACTTACCTGATTGCCATACTCTCGACAGAAGGGTAAAGAATGTGGCAGTGGGGGGATGTTGTGTATGGAGAAGTGATAGTTGTATGTTTTTCTATATCTTACTTCTTCCCCTTAAGGTGTTGGTTGTTCGGGAGGAATAACGGGTGTTAGATAAGCCAATCAGCGCTGCTGCCCCTCAACGATAATGGTTGGAACAGTCAGCATCGCAATCCAACGCGACTCTTCAGTCATTGACGTAGGACCTGAAATGCTCGTCGTAGTTGGACTGCGGCCAAAACAAACTACAGAAAACATATGATAACACATATATCTATTGACTGCCATTCCATCACTAAGATTAAAGGGTTCATCTCACAGTCTGAAAGTAACTACAGGTCACCATGAGGCTGCTTCTCTCTACATCGTATGCGTGCCTAACCCC